TAAATAAATAAATAAATAAATAAATGTCTTCAATTTAGCTAACACCATAGATCATTTGGGCTGCAGTATGTACGGCTTCTAGGAAGAAAGAAAAATTAGCCACTTGTTCAGGGACAGACAGCTGATTACCAATCTTACATCTGGATGAATGCTAATTCATGCATGTATTATATTTCTCTCCCATCTTTTTCCTCTTACAAAGGTCCCAAGGCAGTTTACATAATCCTTCTTTCCATCTGATGCTCACAACAACCCTGCAGGTAGGTTAGGCTGCGAGTCAGGGCCTGGCCGGAAGTCACCTAGAGAGCTACAACGTAGATCCAAAGAAAAGAAGGAAAAAAAGAAAACTTCAACCCATGGGCAAAATAAACACCCACCCACCCTCTGTTCTGTTGCTGCGGGTCCGGCTCCCAGCCCTCCCCCCGCCTAGCTTCTTGCCTCCAGACGCAGGACGGCCTCCCCCGCCTTTCAGACACGCAAGGCACGCCTTCTCCCGCCCCCGTCGCGCCGATTGACCGAGTCTCCGCCAAAACCGGAGCTACGGGGACGGAGCGAGCCAATCAGCGGGGGGAAGGCTTTTGAGTGACGCGGCGGCCGTTTTGGGTCCGGCCAGGGCCGCGCTTGCCTTGCGACCGCCCCGACGGGGCAAGAGCCCGCCGTGGCCGGTGGGGGGCGCCCTTCATGGGCTCTCCCTCCCTGGGGCTGCCCCCCGGAAGGAGAGGCGAGCCTGAGGGAGCTGGGGGTCGCCTCCCCCTCAAGCCCTTGGGGGCGTTTTTCTCTCGCTCCACTTTTGGGGGGGCGTGAAGGGGAGAAATGGGGGCACGGGAGCGTATCCCTCCAGCCCCCCTCCCGCCGCGGCGCCGTTGGGGGCTCTTGGGCGGCCCCCATTTGGGGGTCTTGTAGCCCCTCTGCGAAGGGGGAGGGGAAGAGGGACCCCGCCCCCCGCCCCTTATGGCTGTTGTAGGTGTTTGCGAGAAGCGCTTTGGGGTATGTCCGATCCCCTAAGAAATCGCCCCTCAGGAAGTTTGTGTGTGTGTGTGTGTGTGTGTGTGTGTGTGTGTAGAAGGGGGGGGGGACACCCCGAGAGTCCCCACGGCCTCCGTTTCCTGGGGGTTGGGGGTGTCTGCCCCATAACACATCCAGCTGCCAGGAGGCCCTGAAACAAAAGCACAGCGCAAAGTAGGCCAGCCCTATGGAGCACCCCACAGTCTGCAGGACCCCCATCCACCCCCCGCACCACTACCATCCTTTAATTCCGGGGGCATCGAATGCACCCCCCGCCCCCCGGTTTGGTTGCCAGGAGTGCTTGGAAACAGAGGTGTTGCGGGGCGAGAATCGCTTCCCGCATTCCGGCCCACCGAGCGCTTTCCCCTTCCTCACCCCAGCAAAAGCCCCTTTTCCTCCCCGTTTTGGGAGGGCCGAAGGTTTCGGTTTGGGAGGCTCCGCCCCGAGACCAGGCCGGTTGCACTGCCTCTCCTCCTCCCTTGCGGCGCCTCGCCGCCTCGCTCTTCTTCCATTTCCGAAGGCGATGGAGCTGCAGGCGGCTTCCCGGGCTCGGCTGCCCTGAGCCGGGAGGAGGAAGAGCCGCTCCTGGCGCCTGGTCCTTGCTATGGAAGACGTGCTGCCTTCTGCCATACTGGAAATCTGCGTCTCGGTTGGAGTACCCAGAGAAAAGGTGAAAGAAGCTTGCCAGGTAAACGCACTGGACCACACACACACACACGGTTTTTGTAGAACCAGAGTACCGTGTGGCTGCAGGTGATGCGGAAAAAGCTGTCGGAGATCCCCCCCATTGAACCCCTCTCCCCCATTTTCCAGTCACCCCTAGATCCGTTCAGACGCACGCAGCCTCTTTTCTTTGGTCTCTCTACAAAAATGTTAACACGTTCTTAATGCTTTGACAAACCGGTAGTTCGCCCTGAGGCTGCGAAGGAAAACCAGATTATTTTGCCCAGATTCTCTTGTAAATGCATGATGAATTACAGGAGCTTAGAATTATCTTGCCTGTTCTACTAATTTGTTAACTTCCTCCTTTGACTTTAGAAAGTTCAGCCGTAAACTTAAATGTTAGAAAGGATAAGGGTTTAAAGAGGTTACTGCCTTTTTCAAGGTGAGTGAATTGTTCTTCCAGGGAAAAAATAAACCTCTTTCTAGATCAAGAAATTGTGAACTTGAGAGTTCCACTCTGCTGAAAATTGGCTTGTTACCAATTAAAAAAAAAGTAAACAGTTTGTTGTATGATACTAACTTGAACATTTCATTGGTATGTTGTAACACACTGTGGTATCTGTATTAGCAAACCTCTCTAAATCTTATTTTCCTTTCCAGTAAGTTGCTTTTGCTTGTTTGTGCTGTAAGATTTTTAATTTGAGCAACTCAACCAAAATGGGTCATTTGTTGAAAACAATCTTCTTGTAGAACTGGTCAGAAATTATAGACATTCCTGGTGAACTTCTACAATGTCTTTGTTAATGTACAGCTCCTTAGCAGGAGGGTTTTTTTTGGGGGGGGGCAGTATGTGCATTTGTATGTAGGGGGGATGGGAATGACTGCTCAGCTCTTTAAAACAAAGTTGAGGATGTGACAATTGCTTTGTAGATCCTAGCTTATTTTTGACACTAAGTCATCCAGTGGGTGATGCCCTCATGCTTCCACTGAGAAATGATAGTTTTCATGTGAGGGGGCAAGCAGTGGGACATCGGATAAATGTGAGTCATGGTTTCAGCGCTTACCTTCCTGGACCACCCCTGCCAGCAACTGTCCGCAGACTTTTGCAGGTCTCAGCTCCAAGCAAAATGTGTTATTTTTTGAAAACAATCTTCTTGTTGAACTGGTCGTTTCCTGTGAGCTGCCGTTTACACTGGAGAACTTTTCCTGAATGATCAAGCAGCTATGTAGAAACATCCTTGTCATCCTTTATTTTTCCAAACTGGAGGCTGTCACCAGCACCCTTGCATTTTAATGACTTGCCTGCAGTGCCAACAGATGGCGAATTCCTTACGTGCTACAGTCGTGAGTGTGGGGAACTACGTTGAGTGGGCTTAAGTGGATCCTCCCCTTTGCCCCACGAAATGCGTTCCTTTCTGACCTTGAAGGTGGTTTAATAGTTTGCATGGCGTGTGATTGGATATCGTGGGACTCATTAGCTAGTACTCTTTGAGTGTAAATGTCGCAGCCCCGTCCGAGAGGCTACTGACTGCACGTAGGCATGAAATTATCTCTTTCGATGTGTTGTCACCAATTTCTGCTGGCATAAGACTGTGTGGACATATACCTGTTACATGAAGATGTACAGAGATGCACTTATTTGGTTTGGTGCGTTTTTAATGCACCCAACAACTAATGTTCTTGTGGTAAATTCCAGACAGTTGAAAAATTCAAATGCCATTTTTAAATGCAATGGAACATGTAAAACACAATACAAATATTTAATCAACCATAATATAATGCAAAACAAGCAGCACAGGAATCAGTGAAACAGCTATAATAACCTAGACCTACTTCTCCGATATGTCCGGGAGAAAAGACAGCCATGTAGGTGAGGGCCAAACTGTTCATTCTATAAGTGGGGTACCACAATCGAGAAGGCCCTCTTTTTAGTAGCTGCCCATCTAGCTTTCTTAGGGGCACCTGGATGAGTGCATACCTGTAGGAAGGTACTCTAGTCTCAAGCCTTTTAGTGCTTTAAAGTTTGATACCAACACTTTGAATTATGCTGAGGAATAGACTGGAAGGCAGTGCTGATGGGGAAGCACTGGCATCACATGACTGAGCCAGCCCATCCCTGTTAGTAACCTTGCAGCTCTATTGCAGATAAAATGAAGTTTCTGAACCATCTTCAAAGGTAGTCCCATGTACAATGCATGGTAAGAACGCAGTGGAAGTTACCGCAACATAGATGCCTGCCTAAATCTTACCAATCTGATAAATAGCATTTCTGGCCACCAAGGCAGTTGGGTCTCAAGTGACAGTGATGGAGCACCCCCAAGTTGTGACCTTGACTTCAGCCCTTTCCAGGCAGGACGAATGCCCCTCAACTGGCTGGATGGGCCACCTGCTCGCAGTAGCTCTGTCTCGCCTGGACTGAGTTACTAGTCCGTCACCTTGCTCTTACATAGATTCAGACCATCCATTGCCTCACCTGTCTGATGAAAGGGGGAAGTAGAGCTGGGTGTCATCATTATACTGAGGGTGCTTCCTTCTACATTCTTAGATAACGTTCCCCAGCAGTTTCCTGTTGATGTTAAATAGCATAGGTGGTAATACTGAACCTTATGTTATAATTGCCGTGGGAGTAATAATCTCCCAGCACAACTTTCAGAAGTGACCAAATAAAACAGTGGCCCCAACTGCCAATCCACATAGCTGTGCTAGAAGGTTACCATGGTTCATGGTATGGAAAATTGCTGAGTTCTCCACAACAGCCAACATAGTTATACTTCCTCAGCTCTCTCACCAAAGGCCATCCCACAGGGCAGGCCTGGCAGTTCCTGTCCCCAGACCAGGCCTAAAGCAAGATTTAAAAGGATTTAGGAATCAGCTTCATCCAAGAGCGCCTGGAATTGATCCACAACCACACACTTGACTGTCTCGCTAGAAGGGTTTGTTAGCAACCTTTAAGCTCCCATGCCAACAGAAAGCAGCTGAATAAAGCTCTCTGTCTGTATTAGTACTGATGTGCTGTAGTGGAAGTGGGCAAAAACTCAGCTTCCCGTGAGTCAGCCTCAGTAGAATAAATTGGGGGCAGCTTAATGAGCTTAGTTCATTGTATTTGGTTTCATTGGCTCCTGTTTTTACTAGCTGTATTGCTCACTGTTCCTTTTGATGATACTCATTTGGATTTACTGTTCTTGACAATTTTTGTACTGAGAAGAGGTGCCTACATTTTCTGAATAGAAGAAACTAATAAAAAGCTTGTTAATTTTACAGAATTCTATAATAACATTTCAAAGAATTGTATAATTGTGCTTACCCTATTTTGAATTCCACTGGATTTGGTGTTACACAGCATCTGAAGATGTAGTTTTGGTGTATGTGTTAGGGTCAGGCCTAATACCTGTCATTTGAGAACACCTTTAACACACTTTGGGGCCTGGTAACCTGCTAACCTCTTGGTTGGACTCCTGTAATGCGCTTTATGTGGGGCTGCACTTGAAAACAGTCCAGAAGCTTCAGTTGGTACAAAATTGAGTGGCCAGATTGTTAATAAGACTGGTAGCAGTAAACATATAACCTGCCCAGTCACACTGACTGCTGATTGAAGTTTGGGCCTGCTTCAAGGTGTGTATTTTAATGTATAAAACCCTAAATGGTTTAGGACCTGAATATCTAAAGGAGCATCTCCATGCAAAGAACCCTACCCGGACCCTAAGATCTTCATTGAAGATCCTGCTTTGGCAGCTGCCTTTAAAGGATGCTAGGAAGGTGGAAACCCAGTTTAGGGCCTTTTCAGTTGTAGCCCCCCATCTGTGGAATCAGCTTCCCAAATATGTGTACCAGGTGCCTTCCTTGTACATATTTCATTGCCAGGTAAAGAGTATTTATTTTATGTTCAGAGTATTTAAAGTATTAATAGTTTTAATTCTAATTTTAGGCTGGAATTTTAATTTATGAATTTAAAAAATAGTATTTAAAATGTCTTCAATCTGGCCATTGTATAAGGTTGCTGTTATTAATATAAAACCCTAATTACATGGGGGTGGGGAGAGACAAACTTGTCAATTGCACTGGAAACAAGACTAAGAAATGTTAAAAATCACAGATTCCATAGCAGTTTCCCAGAAAAGTGCAACACACTTAAATTTATCTTACTTCTTTAAGTATTTCTGTTTAATTATATGAAAAGCATTTCTTGAATGAGCATGGATTTAAAAAACAGTTTTATAGCCCAACACCATGAAAGTCACCACAGCTAAGATTATCTTCAGCAATGGTTTCTTTATATTTCTTTAAACATTTAGGGACCTAACTTCATATGACTCATTCCGAACATACACAGTTGGTGCCTAAACATTTCAGTAAACCTGGGGGGAAAGATTGGTGGTTATTTATAACAAACAATTGTAAGATCTCTTTTAGGGACATGGCATCCAACTAGTTATTTTCTCAAAACTTGTCTTTGAAAGCTCAGCTCTGTCTGTCCGTCTGTCACTCCGACCACCCAGTGGCTGAAGCTCTCTCGGCAGATTACAACCATGCATTTTATTAGGCATGTTTTTGTAAAGCAAGATAAATCTACTCAAAACAATAAGGATGTGCCTTTTATGTGGACAGAACATAAGAGGTTCAGATTGAAATGCCAGCGTTCTGTTTACACAGTGGCAACCAAATGGAGGAGAACCGATCTAAGTTACTTTGAGTTACATATTGCCTGAGAACATGGAAGCTCTGTTTGCTCTCATGACCAATAGCCATTGATTAAGCTACTCTCTATGATTAATTTAATACCCTTTTACAGAGATCTAAACCAGTAGATGAAGCTACATCTAGCAGCAATGAATTCCATACATAATTGTGTGAAGTACTTTCTTTCTATTCTTATTTATTTATTTAAAACTTTTATATACAGTTCAATTAGCAACTAGCTCTCAGAACTGAGTACAGGAATTAAAACCTTGTTAAATTATTGTCTAGAAAGGGTGCCCTTATGTAGCACGTTGGCGAACTTGGGACACTGTATTGAATAGAAGGACCTGTGAGGTCCTGGTATCATCAGTCTATGAGCAGGCAACGTTCAGGAAGTAATAAGTAATGCAGTAAACTAAGACAGCAGTACAGATGTGGTACTCTGACTTTATCACTCTTCCACAAGGACCAAGAGACGATGTCTAAGGCTCAAAATCGCATCTCATTGCTTTGATGTTACTGTAATGCTGTCTTGAAAGGGGATAGGGTTCACAGAGCCTAAGAAAAGCCGTGCTGGATCAGAGCAAGGGCCATCTAGTTCAGCAGTGTCAGGCAACCCACAAACAGGCAATGACTGCAGCAGTTCCCTCCTGCCCATACTCCCCAGCCGTTGCTGGACATAGGCATATTGCCTTTGATACTGTAGATAGGATCCAGTCACCAGGACTAGCAGCCATTGTTAGCCTTATGGTCTAATATCCTTTTAAAGCCATTCCGATGGGTGGCTCTCACTATATCTTGTGCAAGGGAATTCTGTAGTTTAACCACATACTGCATGAAGAAGAACATCCGCTCATCTGTCCTGAATTTCCCACAAAGCAGTTTCATGGGATGACTGAAGGAAGAGAAAGGAAGTGTCACGAGACAGGAAGAATAGCTGCCTATCTACTTCTGCATACCTTGCATAATTTTGTACACACCTCGTTCATCTCTCCCCTTACTTGCCTCTTCTCTAAGATGAACTATTGCACATATTGTAATCCTTTCTCATAAGGAAGTTGCTCCGGCCCCATGATCTGCTTAGCTGATTCTTTCTACACTTTTTGCAACACTAAAGCATTTTTTATGGGTGGTGACCAGAACTCTACCTAATATTCTTTATACACATAAATTTGTATAAGGGCAGTGTGGTCGGGTTAGTTTCTTCCCTAATTATGCCTAACATGGGATTTGCCTTTTTCACAGGAGCTGCATGGTGGGTTGACAGTTTCATTCCGCTTTCCACCACAGTCCCAAGATCTCCTCGCTCAGTCAGCGCTCACTCAGAGCCTATTCACTTATACTTGAAGTTGAGGTGTTTTGCCCCAACTGGCATAATTTTACAGTTGGAGAGATTAATTTGGAGTGCTTTGCAATCTGTTTTTGTTTTATCCACCCTAAATAATTTGGTGGCATCAACAAACTTGTCCATGTCACTGCTGATTCCTAATCCCTGATAATTTATGAATACATTGAAAAAGCATTGATCCCAATATGGATTGCTGTGGAATTCCTTGCTTTGTTTCCATCTACTGGGATAATTTAACATTCATCTCTACTCTCTGCGTTCTATTCTTTAACAAAATATTGATCCAAAAATCACCTCTAAGCTAAGAGTGAAGAATAACAAGCTAAGTTTATTCAGGAGTCCTTGGTGAAGGACTTTGTTTACAGGTTAACACTGCCAGGCCTTCCTTATCTACAAAGAACTCTAAAACCTTAGTGAGTCAAGACGTATCTTTGTAGAAGCCATGTTGCTTTTCCTCAGCAGGGCTTATCACCTTATACACTTTCTAATTTATCTTTAATAGTCTTTTCTACCAGTTTACTTGGAACAGATGCTAAATGAGCCCACCTGTAATTTCTCAGATCCTCACTGAATGCCTTTAAAAAAAAATTGGTGTTACATTAAGATTCACCAGCCCTCTGGTACAGAGGCTGATCTTAGAGACATATTTCATATAATGTCACATTTGAGTTCTTTAAGAATGCTATGATGGATCCTGTCAGTTTTCCCAACCTTAGAGAAAAGCCAATGTGGTTCTTTCCATGCTGGCAGCAAGGTGCCGGGGGAGGGGGATCCAAGTTTCAGTTCCCAGCTCCAAAGTCAGAGTACAGTTCCTGACCTGGAAAGTCAAACTATCTTATGATGCCTCAGATACTGTCCAAGGGCCATAGGGTTTGCTGTCTTCCAAACAAAAGGATGGGTCCTATCTGGGCCCACAGATAGATTAGCTTTTAGTTTATTGGTGTCATTGTTTGTCACTGCTATTTCCTTCAGTTCCTCAGGCACCTTTCCTGAAAGCATCAGGTTTCTGTAATATATTTTCTGCAGTTAACAGCAATGCTAGAACAGCCCCTGGACACTACAGGGCAGTTCTATGTGGGGGGGGGGGAGCCACCCTTAATGAAGCAGTCCCTGTTCTTATGATGCAACAACCCACCTATGAGAACAAACCACTGTGGATTGTCATGTTCTCTGAACTGGGTTTAAAAGAACACACATTTTGGAGGGTTTTTTGTATTATTGGTCCATAATTGGTCTCACAAGTTGTATTATTGGTCCATAATTTCAGCTTCAACTTGTAATTTAAAGTGATTCTTCACAACCCAGAAATGATGAATGTGGGTTTTGCTAGGAAGCTTGAAAAGACCAACCAGTGAGAATCTTCTGATCTGATTGGTACCTTAAACCTATTGTAGACCTTCTCTTTGTGAATGTGTTAGATGCATGACGAGTTGCTTTATTAAGCACTCAGGTAAAGGTTTCGTTACCCTCAGGTAGGTTAAGTGGATCTCTTACTTCCTTTGAATGTAACATTAGGAAAAAAAATCAGAAATGCAAATACAGGAAAGATGAACTTTTTTTGTGCTATCCATTATAATATTGGGTGGATTTTCATGGTAAGAGAAGCCATGGTGAAATCTTACTACTGTTGCATCATTTGGAGCTAATTCTGGAGTTTCCAAACAGTACAGTTAGTTTTCTGAAACCATGGGAGAATCAATGGTCTGTTCTAAGTTTTTCGCTCTTTACTGTGGCTTCTCTGATCATGTGAATACAGGGGATGCTTATCTGGATACAAACTTTTTTTACCTTAAACTTTCTCTGTGTCAGAGCAAGCATGTGAGAACAGGAAAGACTGAACAATGATGGGAGGTCTCCTTTCCTTAGTTTCAGTCTTGTGTTTTAGCCTTGTATGGAGATGAACTGATTAGTCATGAACTACAGATGATACATTGCATTCTGGGGAATCTGGGGAATGATTTTAGTTAATAGTGGTATTGTTGGGGTATTGTTGCTGTGGAATGGAGGGCTGAGAGTGAAAAGCCCAAGAAGACTAAATACAGCCCAGTGAGCTTTCATATTTGCCGTACTTGATCCAAACTATCTGACTAAGAAATTCAACAATTAGAGTCCGCCAGTAAAATGCTGAATCACAGTATGGGATTCCAGTGACCAGTGCAACTCAGCCTGATCTCCTGGCACAAGAATAGTTAAACTTGTCTCATCCCAGAGCTTCCCAGACGGGAGTCAGAAGTGCTAAATCATTAGTAATTGACTGAGTATAACTAGGAATCTAGAGGAGTGACAGGTTTTACACACGAGGGACCTTGGGATCAGTGTCCATTTTAGATTTATAGTAACCTAACTTGTAAAAGGGTCATTAAATAGGATTGCAATCAAACAAGGTCATAGCAGGAAGCTTGTCAGACCATAAATATGAGATATTTGTTTTGAAAGGTGTACTCAAGAGACAACATGAAGCTGAAAAAATCCTATGTCAGAAATATGCCTGTAATGTAACGGAATGCTAGAATTTTATGTATACATTGTTATAGTCATTTAGCATTAAATAATGTTGATACCATGCCTGGGGAAGTTAAAATATTGTTTTGACAGTGTTGGATGTTTGTATCAAGAAGAAATGTCTGCAAAATAATATAAGCATATTTCTACATGCGAACCATCTCTGAGAAATAAAATCCAGATTAAATTCTTTTGATTTCTTTCTCTTTTGTTTAGATTGCTCAGAAAAAGGATTTAAAAAGTATTCCCTCATTCGACCCAGAAATTCTTTCTGTTTTTGTACCTCCATTTATCAGCAAGCAGGAGGTACAGACAAGTATAAGTAGCAATGCAGTCAATAAAACAAAACGGCGCTCCTTTCGGAAGAAGAAAGAGAAACCCAAGGTTGAAAATGCGAGAGCTCTGAATGGAGCCCAGAAAGCTCCCGAAACTGAAGATGTTAGCGTCCCCAAAGATGTTGACCTGGATGGATTGCCGCAGCTTTGTTTCCCAGGTAGTGTTTGCCCCTCTCCTTTCAGCAGTCCATTTGAGGCCACGTAATTGATACTGCCTCTACTGAAACTGGCCACACAGTGCTTCGGGAGTAGTGGGAGCCTCCTTTTACTGAGTCTTGGTTTAAGGCGCATTCTATCCCAGAACATTAAGGACTGGCGTACACGATTGTCCCCCTTTTGATATCTCTTTGCTTTCCGTACATGCTTTCTCTCACACGGGCTGAATCTCAGTCTTAAGAGAAAAATGTGCCCTGTGTATGAAACGGTCAAAAACCACATACGTTCTTGGTGGTTTTCAAGCTTTATTAAATCAACCGACTTAATGTGTTTCATCAGCGGATTTTGCCAGCGTTACTAATTTGCCTCAGAGGCAATTTTCAGTGCCCTTAAATAGGTCTACTGTAACTGGTATTATCAACTTTTTTGCCCTGTGTTTCTGTGTTCTTTGCAGGAGGATTTCACATAATGTGTGAACCTAGGGAAGACCGTTTCCATTTTCTTGTTTTCACGGATGTTTGTGGCAACCGAACCTATGGTGTGGTAGCACAGTATTACCAGCCTGTGCAGGTATGTTTAGTCTGCTCTCAGGACTGCTTTGAGTTCTTTATTATCAAATCTCCCTCCCTTTCTTCTTTACCTCTCTCTGTCTAAAATTATGTACAAGCTACCTTTAAGGTTGAACACAGACGCCTGTATAGTGGTTAAGAGTGTTGGGCTGGGATGCAGGAGATCCGGTTTCCAGTTCCCGTTCAGCCATGAATTCACTTACGGCTGGGCCAGTCTCTGACTCTTGGTCTGACCTCCCTCACAGGATTGTTGTGTGAGGGTACATTCTAGAGGAAGAGGAGGATCATGTGAGTTGCCCTGAGTTTCTCACAAGAGGAAAAAGGGCTGTCCATAAATGTAGTGTAATAATAATAATAATGGAGCCTGTGTTTTTTGTGTTGTTACAGTTCTCTAGTTTAGGTCACACTGCCCTGAAGACAACAGAGCATGCTTCCTGATTGTGAATTATACTATTCTGTAGAACAAGGGTGCACAATCTTTCCGGCCCTGCTGCTGGCCAGGGGTCAGCCTGTGTTACACATCCATTTGCATGCAGTGCGTGTATGCGTGTGCACACAGACGCGCACACACAGTGTTCTGCATGAGGATCTCTGAGAAATTGAATGGAGAACGCACCTGAGGATGGATAGGTGGGAGTCGATGGTGGTGGCAGAGTGGGGGCCTCAATGAGGAGGACTGCAGTAAAAGCCTTGGGGGCCAGAGGCTGTGTGCCCCTGCTCAGGAGTGATGCTCTGCGTTTTGTTGACTCTGATGATGTGTCTTAACATGAATCCATGGATAGGCCTGTTGAGATGTTCCACTGAACATGGAAACTTGCCAAATGAATACCGGGCGCCTCATGTGTAGCATGCTTTGTCTGAAAGTCCTTTGCCTGGAGGTCATAATATGTGAGAGACTGACTGACTGACTTCTGGTTGTTCTAAAACTAAGAGCTCTTCACAGGCAAGCAAAGTAACATACTGTTTTCTCGTAGGATGGATACATTTCCTCCAACGGACAGGTTCAGTGGGAAACTACGTGGAACTCTAGAGCTGTTCCGTATTTCGTACCTTGTGCTGTATGTGTCATATCGAGGTATCCATACTTCAATGCCCTCAGAGACTGCCTGTCTTGGTAAGAACGATTGTTTATGCTACCTGGGTGACTGCTTTGTGAGCCTGTAGCTGTTTCTGTTGTTTTCTTGTAATTTTAGGAGCTTGCAGAAGGTATAATGTAGCAGGAGAATTTTTGGTGTCAAATTAGATTTATGTATTTAAATCTAGCATCATGCGGACAGGGTTCCCTGTGCTCTGCATCCCCCCAGATCTGCTTCAGATATTCTCTCAACCCTTTGGAGGCCTTGTGGGCGGGTACAGGGGCTGTACAGGGGGAAACAATTGTGCCAGTCATTTCAGCTTTGCTGACAGATGGTCAGGGTTGGAAATAACTAATTGGATGCAGAATAAGCAAAATTAAACTGTATGTAGTAAACTGTGTGATGCTTAGATAAGGCAGCAATATTTTTGTGAATGGTTTCTATTTGCATAACCATTTGGAACAGGAATGGATTTCTTTTCTAAGCAGGATTTCAGATTGCACAGCTTGATTTCTTTCACGTGTATAGCGTGTTGTTTGGCTTTCTGAATATTTTAATTTAGGGTAAACAGCAATGCTCTGCTTTAGTCAGTCTTTTAAAGTAGTGAGGCAGGATAGAACATAAGTGACTTTTGGAATTTACCAAAAAAGGCAGAGTCTCCTGAGTGATGGTGCCAAAATTCTAGAATGCCCTACCTGAGAAAAATCACTGGGCTTCCTGTGTAGAGATAGACTGTGAAAAATGTATTTACTTAAGTACATCTTCAGTGATTAGAGGTGACCGAATGTTAAATTGGTTTATGGTGTTTCCTTTATGCATTTTGTAATGAGTGACTATATTGTTCTTTACATTTTATTTTCCAAGGCACGCTTGCAAGCACAGGGCTGAACAATTAAATTTAGCTGCATGAACACCTTCTACCAGGGAGTTTCCTGCAGTTTATATATCTATTTACTTCTCATTCATGAAGTGTATCAGAATTGTCAAGAGCTGAGCAGGGCTGTCATGGATAGCACATTTTGGCAGGTTTTCATTCATAGGGTTGCCATACGTCAGAGATGACTTGATGGCACTCAATAACAACTACATCAGAATTGTACTAGTGAAAAAGGTTAGCAAAGAATAGAATAAGGTGACGGTTAAAAATAAAATGAAAAAGTTTGCAAAGAATGAGGATTTTCCAACATTTTTATCTTCCACTTAAATGTGTTCTACTATAATTCGCTATCACTTTTCATTTCAGCCTGTTGGCACAGTTGAAGCCTTACAAGGATTTGGATGTTGATGACTATATAAAAGAATTTGCAGCAAAGCTGTCCTTAATACCCAGTCCTCCTCCAGGACCACTCCATTTGGTAATTACTGAAGATATTATGTTTGATGCTTCCATGTAGGTGTTTCCTGAATGGTTTTCCCCTCTGTGAATGAAGGTATTTTGTATTTTAAGAGGAGTTGGTGCTCAAAAGAGCAGAAGTGAATTATAATTTTCTCCTTCCCATTTATTTTTCTGTACAGTGTTTGCTGCTTTTCCTTTTTCCTCTTCAGTCCTCTACCTGCTTCCCTGTCCTCAGCCATTCTACCTCTGAGTTTCCTGTATTGTAGGAAATACCTAGGTGTGGCAGGGTAAGCCTATGTCTTCATCACTGCCTGTTGCCTCAAAGAGGAATTGGGTAGTTCTGGGGGAGGGGTGTTGGTTGGATGAGTGCCTGAACCTTTTAGTTGCTCACCATTCTTTAGCTGCTCTCTGCATTCCTTTTGTTCATACCATTTTCACTGAAATGCACCTGGCTGGGAGAATGGTTGCATAGGAGTAATGCAAAACTGTGTTGCTTTTCCACTGCAAATTGTCTATCATGCTGTTCTGTTGTTGTTCAGCAGAAATGCAGGCATGTTTTTGACAAGTGCATTTATGGCCTTGGTTCCCTATATCCCTTTTCAGGTTGTTGTCTCCCTTCTACCTGCTCACATGGCTTCTCCTATCTCTGCTAATTGCCATTTCACTTTCTTCCCAAATGCTAAGCTGCAAATACTCTAGTGGTCACAATTTCATTTTTGAGCAGTAGATTATTCCTTCCGGATATTGAAAATGCATTTTTTTTACAACTGACAATTATTAGATGAGGGAAGAAGATGCAATAGAGAGAGATTTCTTTGTGGGACATGGCAGAACCCACGGAGAATGTGCCATCACATATAGTCCTAATTCTCTGTCTTTGTCAGCTGTCTGTCCTCGGGTCTGGTTGAGCATATATCACTAAGGGTCTGATGACACCAAGGGTTATTCCAGGATTTGACAATAATTTGAATGCAGGAGACTTCAATAGTCTTCCCTTGGACTTCTAGCCTATGTATATGACAGCATGCCACTGACTCACATGGCGTGTCATGTTAAAGTTAATGTAAGCCTTTTATCTGCATTATGCTATTTAATTAATATAACAACTCCTTATAATGCAGCTTGAAATACAAGTTCTAGAAAAGTAATTTACGAATTCATGCCTTAAGTAATACCGGCATTAGTATTTCCCTTTAGAGTTTATCTGCTCAGTAATAGAATTATTAGTTTATTCTTCTCCCTGCATCAGTGAATGACATTTTCTCCCTCAAAAGGATGCCTATTGGAATAGATTATCCCTTATTTTTATGGCAGATATTACAAATTTCATTGGCTGATATTTTCTATTTTTTATAGTTGAGCTTTCGAAGGTATTGTGCGATGCCTCAGCTGAAGTAGGGATCATAATTTTCTGTGCTGTTTACCTACAGCAAACATGCATTGAACGCACATCTATTATTCCTGCAGGTATTTAATATGAAGCCTCTCCAAGTCGTATTTCCATCTCGGGAGGATCCTGACAGCCCAGTTATTGATTTGGATCTGCACCTTCCTTTCCTGTGCTTTAAATCAGAGCAAGTTTTGCAGGTATTGGCATGACTCTTGTTTTAAGCAGGGAAAGACTTGCTACATGTATTGTCTGTCAGGTTGCCTGTTGCTTATTAATTGCCGCAATTGAAGCCATTGTTCTTACAGTGTGAAATGGGCTTTGGGGGATTCTGCCGTTGTAGGACTGCAGAAGAAGATTGTAGGAGAAGGCATACGTGAACACAAGCTGCATGCTGTTGAGAATCTGCTGTTGCTGCTGGTGTAGGCCATCCAGTGATTTCCAATGTATGGCTTGGAGTGGAAGCTCTCCAGAATGTCCTATCCATGATAGCCCTGTTTAGCTCTTGTAAATTCAGTTGTAAATTCAAGGCTGTGGCTTCCCTAATGGAGAGAATCCATAAATGCTTTTCGCTATTCTCAATCCGCCTGTGGCCACTGCTTCCATCTGGGGCAACCAGCGACATCTATTGGAGACAGTGGCGGTGCTTCCACCTCAGTCCATGAGGCACTTCCTTCCTCTAGAGCAGCATGAGGTGGTAGCCAGAGCAAGAGGGCAGGTGAATAAGCAGAAAGTACAAACAGCTGTGCTTACTTAGGTTGCAGAGAACAAAAGTGCCCAACGGCTGGGTGCTTGAGATGGAAACAAGTCAGACAGGAACTTATAAAATGTTGCATCATTTGAAGGAGGTTCACAGGCTTTCTTCCTTTCTCCTAGTACTTGAGCCCTGGGAGTAGGCGGAATGGAATGGAATGGAATGGAATGGAATGGAATGGTGGGAAATTCAGGAAGTATTTCACACAGACCATACTTAGATGGCAGAATTCAGTTCCTTATGTTCCAGTGATGACTGCCATCTGAGATGTCTTTGAAAGTTCATTAGATGAGCTAGTGGAGGATCTGACAATCAGTGGCCACTGTTCGTGATGACGATAGGCCACCCCCAGTGGTGTCAGAGGCAGTCTGGAACATGACTCTGCGCTCCTGTGCCCATTACCCTTTGGTAGGGTTCCCATAGGCATTTGGTTGGTCACTGTAGGAAACAGGATGCTGGAGGAGATAGGCCTTGGTCTGGTCCATGGCTGATCTTAGTGGTCTTGGGTAGTTTGCTGCAGGAATGTTTTGCTTCCCAATGGAAAGGGAAGGCAAAGCCAGCAGTAAAGTGGCTGCAGGTTCCTTAATGGATGTCTCATGTTAAGCCGCCCTAAGAATAAGTCACCATGGGTTCACTTGCACATCCAACAGATGCATGGGTGCTGTGTGAGTTGCTGTGGCCTGCTTCCCCCCTCTGTTCCCCTTGCTCCTCTTTCCAGCTCCTGGCATGTATCCATGGTGGCTCTGTGATGGAACTCCTTGCTTCCTTATCCCTATGTCAGCAGCGTTTCCACAGCTGGCCCTCTGTGGCGGCCAACTCACGAAAGAAACTTTTCCCACATCAGATTGCCAAATGGAATTATTTTTCTGAGTGGTAAAAAAAGCCTTTTTCTGGAGTCTTGGTCAAGAGCACATGACCACTTGCCTGCTCTGTAGCCTAGTGTGCTCCAGTTCTCCTTTTGCTAATGTCCTTGTCAATTTCTTTCTCCCCTGCTGCATTTCCCTTGTGAACAGGCACCTTTTTAAAAAAAGGTTGCTCCCCGTATACATGAAATAAGTGTGCCTGACCAAAAGGTCACTCCCATGCAGCCGCCTGCTGCTTTTGGCTCCCTACTTTGTGCTTGTCCCTTCTTCCCACTGGTCTCCATGGCAGTTGTCAGATAAGCACGTGACTTTTAGAGTGGTTAAGGGTATTGGCAAGGATGCACAAATGTCAAGACAGGGCGGTAAGGCCGATCACTAAAACGGGCAAATTTCATGGAGAACAGCAAAGTTGAAGGGAAAATCACCCAAATTTCATAATAACCCACAGTTAAGTTGTGGTCTCAAGTTTGGATGTTACAACAAGTCACTCTGAGCAATCCAGCAACAAGCCATGAGCTCTCAGGATGGCTTGTTTGTGAAAAATAAGCCATCTTGTTGTGGAACCCGAATGTGGGTTGTTGAGTGAACCCAGTCTGTGTGTGGAATGAGCTCCTAGCTGAGCATTCTCTCAGTTTTAGCATTTGGGATATTTGAGCAGGTGGACTGTCTATGGACTTTAAGGTCCTTTGTGTATGTTAAAGGGTTGTGTAGACCCATATAATTGTGGTGTGACCTTCGTGTTGTCTAAGTCATGCAATGAAAGCATGTCCCATCACCACCTTCAGCACAAAGGTTTTGTTTCATAAGGAGTCACTATATTGGTTTCAGAAACTTGTTCAAAAATAAGTTGAAGTGAGGGCTCATGAGTTGAGGTTATGTATATACCTGGGATTGGAGTTGCTGCCCACCCAATTTTCGCCTTGCTGTTTTGTATTCTGGAAAGTTTCCCTCCCATGAACTAAGTAATTTGAAATGTATAGAGAAAATGTTTGTGTGATGTAATACCTTTTTAAAAATCTTTGTTAAAATCAATATAAGCCACTTCAAAGCTTTTCATCTCAAGGGCTGGAGACTTTTGTACAACGTTAATTTGTCTTTGGTGGGATTTTGTGCAGTACAAGAGTGTACATTCCTTTATTAAAATTTGGTTTGAATATGGTTGAAGCGAGTGTTCATGGGCATGATGTACGTACAAGGGATAGAAATGCTGGGTGAGTCAGTAGAACGTTGCAGGTTTTTTCATGTTCTCTCTGTATCATACACATGGACTGTGGTTAGGGTTCGGGTCATTTTGAGGATGTCAGCTGAACCTACAATTGACTCCCGCTGGTTCATGTGCTCAGCTCCTTGTTTTCCATGTGGAGTTAATAATATTAGTTATTTTGAGATAATGTATGTAAGTGCTTTAAATTTTGCTAAATAAATGTTAAGCTGTTGCATTATATTCCTCCCCATATACAAATGACTGGTCTTTTTTCTCTTCCTAGATAATAACTTGTATTTTAACCGAGCAGAAGATTGTTTTCTTCTCTTCCGATTGGGCATTGCTCACACTCATATCCAAGTGCTTCATGCTGTACCTTCATCCTATCCAGTGGCAACACACTTTTGTGCCTATTCTGTCTCGTCAGATGTTGGATTTTGTCATGGCTCCTACATCCTTCCTCATGGGATGCCACAGTGATCACTTTGAAGAAGTTTGTAAGGTCTGTTGCGGATGATTTCCAGTTCTGCTTCTCCACTTCTGTTTTTATAGAGGTCTCAATTGAGATGAATATTTGTTTATATTTCCTGAAAGTAGTTTGTGTTTTTTTCATAAATGAATTGCATCTGTTAATCCTGAGAAGTATATTTAAATATGAATAACTGATTTGAGAACCACCATGGAAAAGCTGAATGCTATTAAGTTGCAATTATAATTTAAACGATTTATTGTCTGCTCATCAAAAAGCTTTAACATAGACTAGCTTACAAAGCAGTAAAGTGACAAAAGTATAACAATATTATCAAGACAGCAAACAATCATACACTTGTTTTTTGGACATGCACATATTGTGCTGCGATCTGTATAGTATAACCAGTCCACACTCCAAGCAGCTTACAGGAGAAGGAGAAAATGGAAGCAAAGGTAAGCAAGGGGAAATATGCAATTATCTTGGCTTAATTATAATTACAGGGATGATCCAAAGGCAAAAGATGAGTTTTGAGGATGGAATTAAAAGAAATGAGCGAGTTGGTCACATGAAGGCAATCTGGAAACAGTTCCCAGCAGCAAAGGCAGCAAAGGAATTGGGTGGAGTTGATTTGGGGTTTAGGGGCCCCTTGTACAACAGAGGGTGGTGGAACTGGATGAATGAAGGTCATAAAAAAGGATGCTAAGGTGTTAAGTGCAGAGAGCTAAGGAGGGGCCAGGCTATGGAGGGCTTTGAAGGTAAGGATAAATTTTAATCTGCAGACCTGATCTATAGTCCTGCTTTTGTTGAAATACATACGCTTCCACATGGTCTAAAATATTGTAAGCAAGACCCTAATCCTTAGCTCTATGATGGTTATAGAACATAGATGCTGGGTGTCCAAATCAACATGAAAAATAAATAGATATTCAACTTGAATTCATCTTTTGTGAGATTTTGAATCCAGGACTGTCAAACTGCACACGGGTTGGAATCGTCTTTAGTTTGGCACACTGAAGCCTTCAAGTGAAGAACTACGAGCGTCAGAACATGACGCACTGTGCCCTCTTTGTCTGAGTAAAATCATGGCCTCTGGCACACCTTGCCATGACCTCTGTCAGGGTGATCTCTGTTGTTTCCTGAGGAAGGATTCTGTCTACTCTGTTTTCCCTTGCACACATGGGGGGGGGGGCAGGTTGCCCCCTCAGGGGAGCATTCTGTTTTGTCTTTTGGACTACCACCCTCCCTTCAAAACGTAGCAAATGTGCTGGTTCGGATGTTTGTCAGACGTACAAACATACAGACACATTTAAATGGATTAAACTTAAGTAGCATCTTTAAGAAACCAGACAACCCTAAGCTGCATATCCTTACTGACCCCTTACTATGCAAGCCAAGTTTCAGGAGTCTAGGTTTCAAGATCTTGGAGCTAAGGTTCTAACAAACTGATAAATCCTCTTTAGTAGATGAGGCAGTTTCTGTTGCTAATATTGTCATGAATCATATTTGCCATGCTTCTTTGCTATCCACATTGAATGACTGCAATTGTTCTAATCATTAACCTGTGTCTTTCTTAAATAAAAAGGAAGCTGATGACTTAATTCTAATTAACATTGATAATGGCAATATTACACAATCCAAGTCTTCTGGAGATGAGGCGGAAATTCCAGATATCCCACTGCAAGCAGCAAGTATTTTTATGACAAGGTAGTTTTGATGAAAATTGAAATTCTTCAAGAAACAACGTAGCATAGTAGACTAGAATAAAGAAGTTGCTTGTGTTTAAAACAATGTATGTTACATTAATTACTGCTTTTCATTATCTCTTGTTTATGCTGAGCCTTGGGTCTAGGGAACTCTCAGAACTATTACTCTTAAATGATTCTCCTCCCCTTCTCCCGCATTGCATGCCTCCATGTCCCATGATCCTGAGGGAATAGTGTGGCATGGTGTACTGCCAGTGGAGGAAGTTGTTGGAGGACATCATTCCTCCCTTACATGAGCAGAAGTTTCCTTCCCTCAGGCAGCTTGCTGCTGGATTGTGCCTTATGTTTCCTGAACTATAAATAAAAGTACTTAAACAAGATTGTTGGTTGATTCGTTAGATTTAAAAAGGCTATTTCATGCTTGAAATATTTTGTTCTTGTTATCCAAGTCCAGTGACTGGTGTAAGTTACTGTTCCAGAATAGAGGTTTTTCATTTGCTTACAAAACCAATAATAGGCTCAGGAAAAGAAAAATGATATAGCTGTAATCCCATCTCACGTTAGTTGTTTTATGTAAAGAGTTATTATGCAAAGCTATTTTTGCATTGTTTGGATGCATATAGAGAGAAAATCCTGGTATTATGTAAAAACACTGGTGTACATGTGATGGAGCATCATATGCTGGTCTGTTCTGGTTGGGTGGGGAGGTATATTGGGTGGAAGCCAAAATTATATTGAAACAGTAAGACAAAAAGAGCCATTTTGGCACTAGGATGAGTGGTTAGATTGGGACAGCTAGGAAAGGCTAAGTAGACATAATGCAGTAATGTTAAGGAATTGTGTATTTCATCTTCCGTTTTCTACAGGGCAGAAAATCTTCAGCTACACTATGACTTAGAACTCTGCCACTTTGGTTCTTGTACAGACCTCAGTGAAATACAGTTGCGGAGGAGAAATTGGCAACAGAAGCTAAATTCTGAAATTCAGCAGATTGCTCTGCAGTTAATAGTCAATATATTTAGGTAGGTGACAAAAGATTCCCTGCGTGATGCACAGTTCTGGAATTCTCTTGCATTCATTCTGGCTTCATACTTGTGAGATCGCATTTTAATTGGCATTCCTCAGTGCTAGATTAGATCAAGGAATCAGTGGGGCCTTATATTCGACCCTCATTGGTAATGAGTGTTAAAATTACCCTTGTAGGTTCACATTAAGATGCATGTCTAAGCTGGGGCTTCCATGTACCACATGGGTGATAAATGTTCTCCAAAGTGGGGTGGAGGGAAGAGGGATTGTTCAATGAAAGAGATTATATGCTTCTAGTTAAGGCCTTTTTTTTTTTTTTTTTTTTTGCTGAACCTTGGGATAAGTTATTTGCTGTTACTAGTGGACTCACTATTTTCCTAGTGCTATGGGGACCAATCTTTGGTACTTGCTTGGCTCTTTTTCCTAGTGCAGATGAAACATTTCCTAACCTCTTGAAAATCTTCATGTTGGCTTAAATCTGCTGGACGTTTGCATCCTCTCTCCTTTGTGTCTCTTCCTTAAATTTTCTTATCCCCTTTTCAGCATTAGTTGTGGCATTGTATTACATCTTTACCAAGGTGGCTGCTTCTGATGAGGGTTTCATGAGAACTGGAACAGAGTTAGAAACTTCCATTTAAAGCAGAGTGTTTCTGACCTTAGCGTCAGTGCTGATATAACGCTACATCCTGGTCATTGCAGAAGTAGTAGTGAGGGCAGGGGTGGAACATGGGTGGGACAGGAAGTGAGGGAGGGAACTTAGGGACTGAGAGATCAAGAAACATTAGATCCCTATCAGGCCCTAATACTAGTGAAGCACCATGACGCTTGCTTTAAAAAATATTTTGAGATTAAAACAAATACAGTGTGTAGCCCTGGGAAACCTTGACTACTTTGTATGGGACTTCCATGCATCCTGATTCCCTAGCTCTGCTTCCGTCCTTTCTGGAGAATCTTCCAACCCTGAGGTATGTGCAGGAGCCTGCAGAAGGGGGAGCGGGTGGGAATGCTTGTTATCCGTGGTGTGTCTTAGGCTGCCTGATGGTCACAGCTGGATACAGTCCATGGATGTGAGGTTCATGATTCAGGGCACAGAATTCAGTAGCCTTCATGCGTGGGTCAGGACTACCTTACATTCCGATCAGTTTTTCTGTCTCATATTTTAACATTGGCTAATCATTGCAGGCCTAAATGAAGAATTTCTGCTGCGATTAATAATTGACCCATGCGTTCTATAAAATATCAAGACATGTAGAGTAAAACTGGCAAGTGTGCTTTCAGCAGGGTTGGGATCTTTTCCGCTGCTTTAATTTCTTTCAACTTTGCCTTTTCTCTTTCTCCAGTAGTGTCTGTCTTTCTCCTCCTGCTGTATGTACCAAAATCCAGGAGTAAAGGAAAGTAAAAGGGCGAGACATTTCTTGTTTGCATATCAGGATGTGTGTGTTACGATAATTAACAATAAGGTATTATTTGCAGATAACTATCTTTTGATTTTAGTTAGTAGTCCTGAAGGCCTGACTCATTTAGAGTAGATTTGACAATGGCTATAACTATTGTAGGAAAGTTACAACTGATTCTTAAGGTCATTCTGCTGAAACCCAGTGCTGGAACAGATGAACCTTTGGCTTTCCAGGAAGATTCTTCTTGCCTTGGATAATTTGTGTTTTAAAAATGCCTTCTGGTTGTTTCAGAATATGAATTTATGCTTTATTTGTGATATGAGAATGCAGGCAGTAGATTACTTGTAGTTTTCCTCAGTAAGTCTCAGTACTTTTACCCCTTGGGCAGGGTACAGAATTGCTGGTGTGCAGAATATTGTCATGTAGCATTCATAGGCCCCAGCTTAGTGACAAAACTTCAAGTTTCCCCTTCTGCTTATGAAATGTTAACATATGTTTTTAAATGTGTACATGTCAGATGATACCTCTTCATGCATCAAGAAAAGAGAAATATGACCAAAACTGGATGCTTGGCTTGTATAATTTCATGATAACTGCATTTGTAGTTGTTTTCATGTCATCATTTAAATGGGGTGGATCTCTCTTGATTTACAACAACACATTCTGAAAATCTGTGCTACTTAAGAGTTCCTAAAGAATGTTATACTAGCATCAAGAGCAATGTGGGTTTGATGCCTCCTCTAGAATGTCTGTATATATAAACAGTGCATAAACCACCCAGAGATCTTTGGCTGTTGGGTGATCTAGAAATTAAATAAATATTTATGAATTCTCAAGTTTCATATAATCCTGTTTTTTTTAAATAGGGAAGTGAAGGACCATTTGAATTATGAGCACAGGGTTTTTAACAGTGAAGAATTTATGAAAACAAGAGAAATAAATGATCAACCATTTTACAGAAAGGTGGGTCTTCAGAATGTTGTTTATTTATTCATTTGAACTCGTATATACTGTTTGCACTGGCTAAATGGCTCTCTGAAAGGTTTTATTTTAAATGGAAGAAAATAGAAGAAAAACCCTGATACAGTAAGTGTTTGATACTCACTGTGCTGATTACTGGGACTTTCCCCATCAATCAGAAATACGTATTGCGGCAGTATAGAATTTTGTCTTGCCTAGATCTGCCCCAGTCTGGGCTTTGAATGAGTAATGGGACGGTATCAGCTTTGGTTGCCCTACTGGACAAACTTGATTGTGAGAGGATCAGAGGAGTGTCTGCCTGTTACTTCTGCTTGCTCTCTTGTGGGCTTTGATATGATTGACCCTGGTATCCTCTTGGATCAACTGTGTGGGTTAGGTACTGGAGGCAGTATGTTATGGGGTTCCAGGCCTTCATGCAGGGTGGATTCTCTGGGGGACTATTCCTTGGCCCTCTGGCAATTGAACCACGGAATTGCACAGGTGCTACCTTGTCCCCAGTGTTAATATCTGTATAAAGCCACTCAATGTGATCATTGGGAGATTTGGAGCCAAGTGCCATCAGAATGCTGGTGTCACAGTGAGGTAAAGCTGTGTGTTTACTGAATCAGGAGAAGTTGGGCAAATCGTGGCTCAGTGTCTGGGCTCAGAGGTGGGCCGGATGAAGGCCAATACACTGAATTGGAATCCTAGCAAGTCAGAGACCCTGTGGGTGACTGGTTCCTTTGTATTCACAGTGAGGTCTCCCCTGAGCAGAGTCAAGTGGAAATACTCCTTTCCATGGCTTGGAAACGATACTTCTGTTTATACATCCTAAAGTTGTACTTGCCTTTTTTACAGCTGCCCACCCTGCTCATACATATTTGGCTTGTGCTTGACTACCATTGCAAGATTCTTTGCATGCATATGATAGTCAGACAGGGGGTGGGGTGGGGGGCTCATCTTATACCAGTGCCTTTGCTATCTTTTGCTAAATGAAGAACTTCACACTTGTCTCTTAAATTTTGCATTTTCTGCCCAGGTTTCTGACCTATCAAGATCATTCTGAATTTTGTTTCTGTCTTCTAAGGTCTTAGCTACCCCACCCAATTTTGTGTCATCTGTACATTTGATCAGTATTTCCCCACTTCTTTCTCCAAGTCATTAATAAAATTTTTGAAGAGTACAAGGCCCAGGATTAAATAGTATTCCTTCAGAGCAAATTTCCATAAGCTGCATCTCAACCAATTCCTTAGGAACAGGAACATAGCAAACACTAATCTTGCTCTGCCTCCAGCTCTTCCTGCTTCTTCCAGCTTTTAGGACGATTCAGACGTTTTAGGGGTTACTTGCTGACATCCCATCTGGACAAATATAAAATAGGAACCTAAACTTTGTTATGCATAACTTGATTTGCTCATGAAAGTTAAGTATGAAGCATTTTATATTCCTAAGCTAAAAAATGACTTTAATTTTGCGAAGAACATTAAAAAATAGGTTCTGTGTATCTTTCCAGTTCTCCCAAAATTTCCATTTTTCTGTCCCCCGCCCCAGCCAGCTTCAAACATTCTGGGAATTCTATATCCGCAAACACTTTGATTATGTAAAATAATAATTCAGCTTTCCTTGTTGTGCCTCACAGGTATTGGAGACTTATATGTTCCACTCCTTCCTTAAAGCTCGCCTTAACAGAAAGATGGATGCTTTTGCCCGCCTAGACCTCAGCACTCAAAGTGAGGAAGAGAGGTAAAGCTTTTTCACTTGTGTTCATTTTCTTGTCTGTGTGAAGCCACACAGCAAACGTCTGTTTTGTTCCTCTTGTATGACCGTCATAGAAGCATCCTTAAAATGAAACCTAGTTTAGGAACGTGTGAGGAGCTTTGTGGGAAGGAAGCCATTAGTTTTCCCGGGGCTCCTGCACGATGGTCCTGTTCAGGCATTATGCAGAACAGGGTACGATCACGATGCCTAAGAGGGACTGGAGGCACATGCTGCCTGGTCCCCAGCACCCCGTGTGCCAGAGCTGCCCGCTCAGCCCCACCGTGTCAGTCTTGTGCCTGCCTCCTGCTCACATCCTCTCGATTGCAAGTAGAGCTGTTTGCACAGGGGGGACCCTGATGAAGAAGGACTCCCCATGTGGAGGCTTCTGCCTGCATCCCAGTGACTGCTAGGAGAAACCCTCTGCAGATTTCTCTGCTCAACATGGGAGGCTTTGGGATGAGCCTCATTCCTCTTCCACTGTTTGTACCCTGTTGGCAGAACTTCTGATGGTGTAAATTGGTGTCCTGCAACAACAGGGAGTTGGATGTCATGGCCTTCTTGACCCCTAACTGTACTTATTCTGTGATTCTACGGAAGGTTTATGTTGCTAGCTCTTATGATGGCAGAGAACTACACAAGAAGCATAAGGGAAGAATTTGGGGAAGGTCCCAAGTCAGAGGAGGTCTGGACAGAGCTTTTAGCATTCTAAAAATATAGATTTATATTGTTGATTATACTTGTGAATGTTGCCAGTGTTTAGATTAAAAAATTGCACATAGCATGCAGGTTAAAATATGGCATATCTGGCTGTCGAAGCCTAAGAAAACCTGTGGAACAGGGAGATGACTCAGGTGGCTGACATAAGTGCACCTAAGTGCCCTCTCTATTCTGGCAGAGCAGAATAATTATAATAATTAATTATAATTAGACAGCCCTCTTGGGTTATTCAGCACCCTATAAATTTATTAATAAATACATAAATACATGCATAAATAAAATTCTTTCCTTAGATTAAGTTCCATGTTTGATAGCCCAAGGAGACCGACGATGGAGAAAATGGCCTCAAAAAGATTTAATCCTCAGTACATGATCAGCAAGCGTATGGGGATGAGTTTGCCTAATCTCCAGGATATCAACCTGAAGCCTGATCCAATAAGGAATTCTTCCTTTCGGAACATCAACACTAAGCACGGTAAGAAGAAAGGGTACTTGGCTACAGTAGCTGTTGCTTGACTGAGTCTAGGACAAACAGTCCTTCTGTGGCCTCCGTAAATCAAGGGGGAAAGCCATCTTGGCTGCAATGGAGGGGAAACAAAATAGGTCTGCCTGCAGCTTTTAATTTTGCTGCCACATCTGGAGTGGAGGAAGTGTCTGGATGGGAAGAGACCCCATGCACTATAAAGCCAGAGGGAGGCACTCCAAGGAAGCCCTCCATGCTGAGTGGAGAAATCTGCAGTGGGTTTCTCCTGGCAGTCGCTTGAATGCAGGCGGAAGCCTCCACGTGGGGAATTCTCCTTCATCAGAGTTTCCCACTGTGCAAACAGCTCTACTTGCAATCAAGAGAATGTGAGCAGGAGGCAGGCACAAACCTCCCCATTCAAGACAGAAACGGTGGGGCTTAGTGGGCAGCTCTGGCACACAAGGGGAGGTCTTTAGGACAGGTGCCTGCTCTCCTGCTTTGTCAATTTGCCGGCACAGAGGAGGTACAAACACCACATAGAAGCTTTCAAGTGAATTAGTTTACCGGAGACTATTATTTTAGCCCTTGCACAGAAATCATAGTTGCTGCTTAGCCTGTGGAGTGCCACTTGAAGAACTGGAAACGGGTGGCCATGTTCCAGAAATAAGACAAGCAAGTGGGGGGGGGGGTCGCTTGCTGGTCGGCAGGTGTGCCCCCAGCATATTGTTTAAACAGCCGGTGAGCTGGCACTGAACTGTATCTGCAGCCTGCTTTGCAGAACTGCAATTCCACATTCCTGGCAGCAGCCACCTACATCCAACTCTCCTCCGACTGCTGTTTAAGCAGGAGCTCCAGCCAGTGTGGTCTAATAATCTGGATTTCCGTTTCTTAGCAAGCACGTTTCTGGTAAGCTACGGTTCTTTGTCAGGCCTGTTGTTTCTCTCTCCCATTTGCACTCTTTCTTTGCTTAAGAGCCTATTACCACCCACAGGACTATTTTTAAAAGAACAGAGTCGGTATCTTCTCTCTCTCACATGTACTTTATGCTTTACTGGTGCTGTGTGCCTAGACTGCATTGTGTAGTTTAAATCATTTGGGGAAGTGCAGTCAAATCTTGGAAGCCCACTTTTCTTACTGCACCGATCCATTTCCTTAGCCCAACCAACCTGTGTGGGCCTTTTCAGAAGGGGAAATGCCTGCAAACAAGGGCAGTTTGGATACAGCAATATTCCATGGCCTTTGACGTTCCCTTGTAAACGGCCTTGTTTTTCCTTTCAGCTGCAAGATTGTCCTCTAAGTCAACATACACGTTCCGGATCCCAGAAATCCACTTTCCCCTGCTGGGCCAGTATGTCCACTCTTACTACACTGATTTCATCAACCTCCTCAGCAGAGCTATTAATATTGTGTCTCCTAATAATTCTGTACTTCTGGCAAGGTATTTCTACCTTAGGGGACTTATTGGTTTGATGCAAGGAAAGCTTCTGAATGCGCTTTCAGACTTTCAAAATCTGTATAAGACAGACATAAGGATATTCCCTACTGATCTTGTGAGGAAAATGGTGGAAACTCTCCCTCCTTCGGATCGTTCCCAAGCAGACCAGAAGCCAGAACTGAAGAGGCTGGTAAGTCAAGTCATGATGGATAAGCAACGGGAGATAACCAAAGTGGATGACCATGTGAAACACTTTGAGCTGCCCAAGACTCACATGCAGCAGGATGACTTTGTGAAGCGCGTTCAGGAATCTGGGATCGTCAAAGATATTGACACGATTCATCGGCTCTTTGATGCATTAACAGTAGGTAAGCAACAACAACAACAACGGGAAAAGTTGTTCACACACAGGTGTTGTTTGACTATTTTGTGCTTGCTTTTCTTCCTTTTTCTGGATGCACCCATTTCTGTTCGTGCAAAGGCATCCATCCCCTGGTACGCCTCTTCTCGGCTGGGTGTGAAGGGATGATTACTCAGAATGGGAGGCAGAGGCAAGGCCAACTGTTGGTGTGGGAAGGGGGGAAGTCAGGAAAGGGTGAATTGTATGTGGGCACTGACCAAGAGGACTTGGCATCTGTCTGGTCTAGGATGCTTAGGGTGGAATGCCGCGGAGACCAGCACAGGCCTTGGAGGCTTGTGCTCATGCAGTGCAGCCTCCACCATCCTGATCTGCATTTCCTCCTGGAAGGCACTTCAGAGGGGAAGGCGGGTGGGGAGCCTGGAGCAGCTTCGGGACACCTCACGCCGTGCTTCCTGCAGTCTCCTGCCCTTCCCATTCCGTGGAATGCGCCCAGTACCCTGCCCCAGAGAGGCGGTTAGCGCGGGCCGTTGTGCGCTGGCCCTGAGGAGGAGGGGCAGGGGAGTGGAGTGACCCAGCGCGCAGCCTATGCCCAGGCTCGCTAGGGTTTTCCCCTCGGTTGCTTTAGCTGTGTGAACACCATTCGCAGGCAATGACGCTGTGGAATTTTATTTATGCAATTGAGAATACTTTTTCACTCCTTTATCAGTGTAAGATTCTTAAAGTGGGAACACTTAAGCTTTCTTGTGTCTTCACTAGATCCTGACCAAGACAGCTGAATGAATGACTTAAAAACATTTCTAGAGTATTTTCTTCCCCATTCCAAGTATTTCATGTCTTGTGTTTTGCATTGCTTAACCTTTGCAAATCTTTTTTTAAAAACAAGTTTTCATGCACAGAGTTTCCCCACCCTTTTTCCTGTCGTTTGTGACAGTCATACTGTTGACTTTTTTGCTTGTGTCGTACTGGTGACTTTTCCTTTCCCTGCTTTGTCCCTGAAAACATATACTGCTTATGCTGTTCCGACAAACCCTGCTCTGCCTAAATATCAACTCTAATAACTCAGAGAAAAACAAAAGAATTCTAGTTCGGTCTTGATGTACTGGGAGCTGCCACATTTGTTAATATGGTTGCCCTGTTTGCATATAAAACAATGGGTGGAATGGGAATGTCTTCTTTTAGCTTTAGGAGAATCATGCAGGCAGCTAAATTCTCCTCTCTCAGCTTGATGCACTCATTTACCTCAGTCACTTTTCTTCCAGTCTGGCTCATTTCTGGCATCTGATCTGGCCTGGAAGAAAACTGCCTGATGTGACAGCTCTGGACACTAAGGGAAGGCGGGTATAACTGCAGCTGCCCCCTGCCAATCTCACTTAGCCCGGTTCTGAAAACTGACTGCAATTAAACCCCGTTACCTTTCTGTTTACCTTTTTCATTTGTTTTCATACCCAAGAACTGTTGTCATTTTAAGCCCTGCTCTGAAATTTCATTTATCAAAATGTCTTGTAAAATTATACTGGCAGCCCTTTCTCAGAAAGTCATCTAATGCTTTAATATACAGATTGTGTAGAAATGTTAACAAGTTTTCTTACTTTTAAGGCCATCAGAAACAAATCGACCCAGAAACATTTAAAGACTTTTACAACTACTGGAAGGAAACTGAAGCAGAGGCTCAAGATGTAAACCTGCCGCCCACTGTAATAGAACATTTAGACAAAAATGAATGTGTCTACAAATTATCGAGCTCAGTTAAAACTAACAAAGGAGTTGGAAAAATAGCAATGACTCAGAAGCGTTTGTTCCTTTTGACTGAAGGTGTTCAGCCTGGCTATGCAAGCATTGCAACTTTCAGAGATATAGAGGTAGGGAGGTCATAAAAAGCTGAATAGTCTGATTTTAAAGATGGTTATAACATAATTGCAGATTTAGTGCTAACATCAATCCTAGTCTTGGCTACTATATAGTTTTACAACAAATATTTCTATGCTTTGCGACTGATATAGGTGTCTGAGAAAATTATCATTAGGTTTCCAGTGTCCAAAAAGGTTATTATAATCTTGTTCTGGTCTGATGTGAAACACCTTGGGCTTTGGCATCAGTTTTAATGCTAGTAAGTTGTATTTATTGTCAACTGTATCGCAGCCATTCCTGGAGCGTGTTTCCAAACTTGTTCTGCACTGAGCAGAGCACTGGCAGTTCCTGCTCTTACATATAGGAATTCATGTGCAAACTAGAACCAGAAACTTGGCTTGCACAACAACAGGCATTTTATTAAGCCCTGTACATAAAGAACCCAGGGGACTGTGTGGCCCTTATCTAGCCTGCCATCTAAATAAAAGCAGCAACAAGCCTGTGCGAATAGTTAACAGCGCGAGGAATTGAAAAGATGCCTTAAGTATTTGGGTGCAGGGGAAGAAATGATTATATAACAATATTTTGCCTGACATTTGTGTCAAGTTCTCTTTTTTTGTCTCTGTTCCCACGCTGCTTTTCAGGAAGTGAGGAGTACTACCGTTGCTTTTCTCCTCCTCAGGATTCCCACTCTGAAGATAAAAGTGATGTCCAAAAAGGAAGTTTTTGAAGCAAATCTTAAATCTGAGCGTGATCTTTGGCATTTAATGGTGGAAGAGATGTGGGCTGGGAAGAAGATGGCAGATGATCACAAGGTCTGGCAGTTGGTATTCACAGCAGAAATATGTTGTCTTTGTGAAAAATGTGCTTTATATACTTTCACCACGTTGTTTTAGTTTCAGACACATGTCTTAAATGCCCCTTTCAGGTATAAGACAAGGTCAATCATTTGAGAAGCAAGATGTGTAATTTCCTAAGGTCTCAGTCCATTGTTGCAAAACATGATACACTTCATCAATGTGTCTGACATCCTCTGGGTGTGTATTTTAAACTGCTGTTGAGAAAGTTTAACACATACAGCTTGCCCCTCTTAGCTTTCCTTGTAACATACATGTGTCATACTTAATTCTTCCTTTACTCTTTAATTTTCTACAAACCGATTACAAACAGGTAACAAAAACATTATGTTGTTAATAAAACATAACACACTGTGTAAGCCATCCTGAGTGCTTGTCGGAAGGACGGGATATACATGTTTGTAATAAATAAATAACACATAGATAAGCAAGACACAAAAAGGGAGAGAGGAAATCAAATACAATAAGACTATGGGTGGCTTAGTTTCCAGGAATCCAAATAATTTTCAGAATTTGTTTAAAGAGTTTTGGAGGCCCTTTTGTAAAGGACCACTATCTCAGCATACCCTCCTTTTGCTATGGATCTTTTGCTGGGATAAGCTCTGCCTTCCATGCTTCTCCCAGAAGGCATTTAGCTGCTAATAACACCCAAACCAGAAGCTATCTGTAGAGACTGGTTAGTCCCCAGATACTCTATATCGATAATATACCAGGCGTGTTGAGCCAATTAAATAATACTTTTTGGTCTAATCTGGCCTTCCCCAATCTGGTGCTCACTAGATATGTTAGACTGCAACTTGGAAAATTTTACTGGCTGGAATTTAGGGTATTCCTAGTCCAACACATCCAGAGGCCACCAAGTTGGGGCTGGCCACTCCAATCAATGAATTAATTGAGTAGCTAGACATTTAATTGAAAATCTGTTCTATTAGTTCACTTCTCCAAGAATGAGGACTCATTCAAGATACCGAAGTTTCATTATGTCTTCAAATTTGAGAATGTGATATACAGAATGTTCCCTGTTCGATGCACATTAGAGCCCCAAGGGCTTCAAACATACGCAAACGTATTGTTGGGCAATACAGGAGCTGAACCTCTTTTGCAGGAACAGTGAGTGGAGGAAAATTTGAAATTACGACCTGGTTTGTCTGCTTTTCACCTTCTCAGGATCCTCAGTACATCCAACAAGCGCTTACCAATGTCCTTCTGATGGATGCAGTCGTAGGTGCCTCGCAGTCCCCCAAAATGATTTATGCTGCTTCCAAACTCTCTTACTTTGTCAAGATGAAAAATGAAGGTGAGCAGGGCTTTGGCTTAAGTGTTCCAGTCGGCCATTGCTCGATATTTAAGAATTTAATGGAGAACTTGGCTGTGCTAATCCACACACCTGTGCATGCAGTCAAGCCCGGGAAGACCCGGGAGCCTGGATGCCCAAGGGCAGACGTGTGTGTATCCAGGAGCTCCTAGTCAGGCCCGGAAGTGGGAGGAGCAGCATGCCAGGGGCGCCTCCTCATGGAGCCCCTTCTTTCAGTGACTTGCTTGTGTTCTTTCAGAAAACCTCTCTTCTCTTGCACTGTATGGTAACTTGGCAAATGTGTTTGTCTGCCTTGCTTCAGTGCCCATGATGGTCCCCAAGACGACAGCAGAAACCCTGAAGCACAAGATCAATCCATCCGCTGGTGAAACATTTCCACAGGCTGTGGAAGTTTTGCTTTATACCCCAGGTGCGGTGGACTGCGGGAGGGCAGGGGGCAGTAGAGATTGGGTTAGGCTGTCAGGATGGGTGCGCTGGCCTTCCAACAACTGTAGAAAGTGTGACAGGTAGAGATATGTTCAAGGCTGTCCAGAGAGCTTCATGGCTGGGGATGATGGGGATATGAATTAGGAATCATAAGTGTTTGAAGGGGTCACTTAGACCATCCCCTTGACCAGTTTAAAGCATTCCAGAATGTAGCCACTGGTCTCTGCTGGGCTCTCCAGCAATGCAGAGCCCATAATCTCTCTGGGCAGTTGGTTCTATTTCCTGACTACTCGGAAGGGTAGGAAGTTCTCTCGGTTGGTTTGAGGAAGGCATCCAGTAATGAGTTAACTTCCTTTATCACCCAGGAAAATCAGGGACAATGCAACAATTCCTGGATCCAGGCATGCTCCTGCCCCAGCTTATCCCGGCTTTTCACCCAGGGCTTATAGTTCTTCTACCCTAATTAGGCAATAGTTTATCATATCCCATCTTGGATCCCTTTCTCAGACTGACACGGAGAACAGAATGTCAGCACTATCCAAGAAGGCTCCTCCTGGTTTGGTATGTGGAAGGCATTCAGACCTGCAGTTAATCCAGTTGGCTTTCTGGACAGATCACAACGTTTAAAACATAAAACAAAATTCAACAGCACAATTGGATAAAGCCAAAACCAATTTATAATCATAGTCAAGAAAAAACAAAATATATAACCAGTAATAGTAATGAACAGAATAGAAAAACAACAATACATAATTAAAACAGTCTGCAGTGCCACAAGATATAAAATACACAATTTTAGCAATTAAAATACTGAGAAAATAGAACGGTTTTAGCCTGGTGCTAAAAGGTGTAGAGCGTCCAGTGGATGCAAGTGGGGCAGGGGAGCGAATGGAACTGGTATGTTATTCAGAAATTGGTCACCTGCCCCTGACTTCCTGGTGTTAACCCACTGGTGGATGCCTGCCACACACGAACCCAAGAGCAGCCTGCACGGGAGGTGCCATTGTACCATTTCCCCTCAGTTCCCTCAGCGCTGCATCAGCAGAACTGCTCAGGAGCCTTTCCGATGGAGCCAATTGTTGAGCCTGGCTGTATAGACAAATTTTTGTAAAATACCAGGAAGCTTTTGAGCAAAACACACCATAGTCAAGCAATAGCAGCTGAGGAAGCATTAGCAGCATGAAAAGTATTGCTGGTGTCCCCCAGCATCTGGTTTGCAAACTGGGATTACTGTTGCTTGAAAATGGCTACAGATGAACTTGGTATCAGGTGTGTCACTAATGTCTTCCTCCAATATTAGGGCAGCTTGATCCAGCAGAGAAGTATGGAGATGCCCATCCAAAATTGTGGTGTGCTTTGAACGAGGGGAAGGTTGTGGTGTTCGATGCATCTACGTGGTCTATTCAACACTGCTTTAAAGTGGGCAGCTCTAAGTTGGTGAGCCATATTTACTGTGGAGGCACTATTTATTTATTTATTTATTTATTTATTTAGAAAATTTCTATGCCGCCCCATTCACTGAAGCCTCGGGGTGGCTCACAAATATATCAATTAAAATATAATACAATAAAATATAAAACAAGTTTACAATATAAAATTTATCCAGAACCCCTGCGTTCTTATTTATTTCATTTCTCTACTGCCCCATAGCTGAAGGTCTCTGGGCAGTTTACAACACTTCAGACAAATTATGCAGTGGAGTTTGGAATTCTATGGAATTCTTGCTGAGGAAATATCCTCAGACTGTTTTGTTTTAGTAGATGCCTTTCGCGTTCTATTCTTTGTCCTCTGCTCCTTCATTGTTTGTGTTAATTCTGTGCAGAGGTGCTGCAAACTGGAGAGGAGGCAGAGCCATCCCTTTTGGCTGGGAGTAAATGCTAGTTAGCTTGTGGTCTCTCATGTGCTGCTGCCTGCAAGGCAAGCCTCTCGGGGAGACAGAGAATCTGTTTCGTTCCACACGACAGGCTGGCATGAGTGATCAGCCACAGTAGCTTGTCTTGTCCTGTGATCCTCAGACGGTTTCTGCAGAATGGCTTATTGTTCACAGATAAGCCACTCTGAGGCCCTATGGCTCTTTTTAGGGTTGTTGGAGCTCAACAACCCCTGATAAAATTGTTGCTATCCATGGGGGCTTCCTATGGCGTCTGAACCCGGCAGGCTGAGTTTATCATGGGTTGTTGGGAAGGTAGAGGACAAAAGCCCCTGCTGCTCCTCACAGGTCTGCCTCTTCCCTTCTCAGTGCCTTCTGCCTCAGAATTGTATCAAGATGTGATCACTAGCAATGGAGGAAGGCGAGCAGGAAGTGGAGTGGGGAGCCAGGAGGGGCTGGAAAAAATGTGAGTGGGTGCTTTGTTTCAGTGCGAAACGAAACAGCCTTTAAAACAACAAGATGCAAGCGCAGGATGAAATTAACTAGGGCACCGTTGGGTTAAATATTGGAGGGTCTGTCTTGTGAAATTGCTCAGGAAGTCAGGGAAGGGCCGATGAAAGCACTGATGTCTTTCTATGGGCTCAGAACGCTTACTCTGTTCAGTGATCAGAGGTGAAGGGCGGTGGGTCTCCCTGGCCAGCCAGCAGCCCCAGCGGACCGACTGCAAAAGGCGTGCTGATGTCAGGGCAGAGGCAGTGAGAGGTGCTGGCACAAAGGTGCTTGGAAGAAGACGAAGGGACACGAAGTCACGGCAGGTGTGGCTGCCTCTGGGGAGAACCGTGGATCGTTCCGCACGCAGGAACCCACCGTGGCTTATTTGGAGGGCGGCTTGATGAGATGTGTGAACCTACAGGGAATTCTAGCTGGGTGGCAAGACACAAGTGTGCAGAGTTGGAGTGACGCTCTCTCGGGCGACTAAGAGGCGCACAACACAGTTTTGGCCTGGTCTGTTTATATGCTGCTCATCACACAAACTGGAGCTCTAGCTCATTCCGCATTGCGTGTGTGGGAAAAGGGTTGGAGGGTCATTCCGTTCACCCAGGTGTGCGTGCAGCTCATCAGTAACCGAAGTTTCATCTCTGCAGCACACTCAGCTACCTTTTGGAAAAACCATCTCTTTAAATCGTTTAGCAAAGCTATTCCAGTCACCCTTTCAGCACCTTATTATCATGTATTACACTGAAATAGCCCTACATTCTACAATGAGAAGACCAGTGGACATGTTGTTAGTAAAGATGGGGAAAATGAGTGCAACTGTTAGGTATGATACTGTAGCCGTCTTGATTTTTTTTTTGTAAATGCAGAAATGTATGGTAATGGCAGAACAAAGTCAAGTCTGGATTGGTTCTGAAGATTCCATTATCTATTTAATCAATACCCATAGCATGTCTTGCAATAAGCAGCTGAACGACCATCGCTTTGAAGTTGTGGACATTATTGTGGAGAACAGAGACGGTGTGTCCAGGTCAGTTGAGAACGGGGGTGAGGGGGAGTGGGGGAAAGGCTCACGGCACGATCAAGGGCCATCAGGGCCTGGAGCGCTGCAGCTGTGCTTCAGTTCTTCTGTCCAGCATGATTGTCGCGGCGGCAGTGTCTTGCTTTGAGTGCCGGGCACAGATGGCAGGCAAGGTGCCTTCCTTTGCGATGCCAGATCAGCCACGTGTCAGCTGGATGCCTTTCCATGATGTGATGAAAAGCTTGTTGGGGCGGTGATGGAGCTTCTCTTTCCTTTGGTACCTTGGGAACCAGGGTGCTGGGGCCCAGGGCCAGGATGTGGGTGGTGGGAGGCAGGGTGATAAAACTCAAGGCGAGACAGAGGCCAGAGTTCAGAGGCACCCTGAGGCAGGTAAACTGGGCAGGATCCATGGCGAGGGCCAGGGCAAGATGCAGAAGCTGAACCACAGTGAATGGGGAAACCTGCATCCACAGGGAACACAGCAAGGCCGGGAACAACAGAACCAAAGTAGCAGGGGCCAGGCAAGGTGCAGGAGCTGAACCACAGCAGAGCACAGCCAGCAGGGAGACCGGTGTTACTGAGGTGAGACAGGGAGGCAGGACACAGTCCAGGTGAGGTGCAGTTGCTAGGGCAACGAGGAAGGCCTGTTGCTGAGGCAAATCCTGGAGGGAAGAGCTTGCTATCGTATAGCTCTTCCTCTAGAACTCCCAGCTGGCTGGGAGGCTGACACCTCCACCGGGAAATACCCTGCAAATACTGAGGTGGGCTTCTAGTTCAGACTAACAGGTGAAACCCCAGAACAGCCTGTGGCTCACGGGGGGAGGGGCTCAAAATAATAAGAAAGCTTAGAAATTAGAAAAGATCAGCCACAAGTGATTTGTCTCCCGGAGTCTGAATGCTTAAGACACAACGCTGTCATGTTTTCACACATAGACCAAAATTATATTGAAAATTTGATGGTGATTTCACAGTTTGAGCTTGTCCACCAGTGATCTTTGCTTAGGTTTATTTTAATTTTAGTAGCATGATGTTTTAACATCTTGCACTTCCCTTGCATACCGGCAGCGAGGTAAATTCGGACAATGAGGCATATTCGTGCAGCTTAGATGGGATGGTGATTGCCTGGAACATCAGCTCTTTAAAAGTGAACCGAAGGTTTCAACTGCCTTGTGACACTCTAACTGCTATCAAACTCCACAATAACCGACTTTGGTGTTGTAAGTTTAACTGCATAAGCATTTTTATTCCTTTAATGAAATTTAATAAGCATTTAATGAAAAGAATTAGATTAAAAATGAAGACAAAACTCACCCAAGGCCTTGTCTCTATTTTTAATGAATTCTCCTCCTTCATCTTGATGAGCTCTTGAGTATAATTTCAGGTGTAGTTGCTAAAATGATTGTGTTCTTTGTTAATTTTTTATTCCAGTAGAGATAACTCAAACCCTGTAAGTGTGCATGTGTGGGAATGACTTGAGGAATTTCTGTGCCATAGGATGAAATCCTTCCTGGGGTTCATGAACATGATCAAATACTATCAAAAGCAGTACTAAGAGAATGACAGTACAGTGGTACCTTGGCTCACAAACTTAATCTGTTCCATGACTCTGGTCATGACCCAAATTGGTTGTGGGCCAAGTCAAATTTCCCTATAAGGTTCAATGTAAATAAGGTTAATTCTTTCTGTAAATATTTTTTTTAATCACAGGGAAGACGGGCGCGATCACGGGGACGCTTGGAGGGGACAGGCACGATTGCGGGTGTGCTCGGGGGAGACAGGCACGATCATGGCCATCTCCCCCCCCCCCCCCCCGAGCATGACAGCAATCACGCTCATGCAGGGAAGATGGGCATGATCGCGCTTGTCACTGATGAGGAGTTTGCGACCTGAGGAAAAATTTTCCTGAAATTTCTGTTCGCGACCCGATTTGGTCATGAACTGAGGGGTTCGTGAGCTGAGGTCCCACTGTACTTGCTACCCATCTTGAACGTGGTGAGGGAATATAACAGACTCTAAAACGGTGCTGCACACCAGCCTGGTGTGCTCTGCATATTTCCCCTCTTCCCGAGGAGCTGGCTTGCATCCTCCTCGTGTCTTGGAGGAGGAAGCCACCAGTGGCTGCCGCCTCATTCAGCAGAGGCAGCAAGCCTGCACTTCCGCAGCTGAGGAGCTTGGGCAGGGGGAGGCCTCGTGCCCCTGCTGCTCGAGGGATCCTGTGGGCAGCTGGTTTGCCATCTCGTGCTGTACTCAAGCAGCGTGACTTTGATTAGCTCTTCTGTGTCCACACGTTGTCCCATGTTAGAAATCTTAAGGCCACACATGCTAAGGTTAAAAAAGAAAAAAAAAAAAAAGCATTGTGTATTCGTCTGTTTAGGCTTCACTTGCTCTTGTCTCTGATTCTGTTTTGATAAGAGGAGACGATCTCAGATGCAAAATCTTTGTGTCTTTGTTTGAAGGTATAGGAAACTGTATTCTCGTCGTCACCACAAACGGAATTGTTTGGCAGAGGGTTAAAATGGAAGAAAGTGCAAGAGATCTGCCTGTGTTCTTTTTGTGTTTCCAGCTGTTCCCTGAGGTATTTTATGGAAAATTGTAAATGTAAATAGATGGTCGCAATCTTAACTTAAAACACGCTATAGAATTTTTGTGTTAAAATGAGGATGCTTCTTCTTTTCTTTATCCTTTGCCTCAGGCAAACCAAGTGTGGGCATCGTGTTTAGGGAGCACTGAACTGTACATCTGGAACATGACTGATCTGTCTGCACCCTCACAAAGGATAAGCCTGCAAGATTGTTCAGAGATCATATGTATGATGAAAGTTAAAAACCAGGTAAATGAAACACGGGGAGCAGCATTTTTGCTTGCTTATGTGATTGCATTGCTTGGAATACAGATTTCTGTTTAGGCTTACAAAATTGGCATTTCTTAGTTAATACAATGGTTTTGATGGCTCTGCTCCCTCCCACCCCCAGTTTTACAAACCACTTTTCAAATCCTACTCATTTGCAAAGCATAAGAAGCTGCCTTAAAGGCAGCTTGCCCCAGGCTCCACCTAGCCTAGTGTTGTCAGCACTGACCGGCAGCCTGGGTTTTGGGTGAGATTCATTTCAGCTCTTTCTGAAGAAGCTGCGGAGTGAAACCAGGACTTTCTGTACACTGAGACCCAGGAACTTGTCAAGCTGCAAATTTAAGCTATATTCAAGCTGCTTATCTGCGTTGCTATCAAAGATGCTGGGTGCTTATAATTACATCAATATATTATTTATCTTACCAAGTGGGAGCTTGTCCCTCTCCCTTTAATGTGTCATTTGGCTCCTTATTCTTTTCCCTCTCCTGCTGTTGCTCACACAGTAAATAAAGTAATCTTAGCATTGCATGCTTTGATATAAAACATTTTCTAAATAATAGTTTTGCTTTCCAGTTGTGGGTTGGCGGCAAAGGACGTTCCCAAGGCAAAATCAAGGGCAAGATCTATGTGGTTGATGCTGAAAAGAAAATGGTGGAAAAGGAATTGGTTGGACACATGGATGCAGTGAAAGCTTTGTGCTCTGCCGAGGACAGATACGTTCTTAGTGGCTCTGGAAAGGAAGAGGGGAAGGTTGCAATCTGGAAGGTTGAATAGAGTTCACGGTTTAGATCTGTTTCCTGCAGTTAGAAAACTTGGAAGTAGAGTGGGGATTCTATTAGGGCCAAGTTTGTGTATATTTCTCTTTTAAATTTCTAGTTCATTTTCAGGCCAATTATGTTTTTGTCCTGGAGAAGCCGAAGTGAATTTTTATTTATATCTGGTCATTAGGACCATGAAATATATACTGACCCAAGAACTTGAATGTATAGTAGGACAACACTGGGTAACTCTTAATATTAAATCAAAAGTATCATTTGCTTTCTGCATCACAGAGTCAGTGGTGCATCTTGTTCAAAACGCACAGTCGGGTTCCATATTTATACTTCTGTGCTTCCAAGGACAAAGCTGGAGTTACAACACAATCCTGTTCATGCTTAGGAAAAAAAGGTCTGGAGCTCCCACCGTTGGCCAGCCAGCATTCGCCACTCAGCTTGTCTGTCTAAACCAGCATAGGCTTGTGCTTTTAACAGGGCAGTTCATGTGGAAATGCTGGTTAAAGTTGTATTATTTAATCTTGCCTGAATTGGTGGGCATTGTCTCTTGATTCCATGGGATCTGCCAGATCAAGTATATTGGTTGATACAGAACTGGCCTCTCTTACTTGCTGCTGTTGACCTGATCCCGCTTTGTTCCCTGCTCTGGCGGAAGCCAGAAATGGCTCTCCCCATTCGAAAAATGCTTGCAAGGAGAGGGGATCCCTCTGCACTACAGGGGGCGCCACAGGAGATCGCCTCTTCCACAGTCAGTGGTGCTACACCCAAGGCTTTCTCCAGTGGTACTAATGCGATGTAATAGTTCCCTTTGCTGGGATTGTGGTTTCTTACCGTTCCGAAGAAGGCAGCCATACGGGCACCAGACCTACAAAGTTCTCCGTTCTCCAGAGGCAGCACTACTGCCTTGTTTCTTCAGCACATTCCAGTTCGATGGAAGAAGTTTATACTGTGCCTTTATTTTCAAAGGTGCTTCCATTTGTTAGCAACCAAAAGCTGCTTCGCTTCTCTTTTACGTGCTCTTTAATTGCCCCATGTCTTTCAAATATTTATAGGCAACTTTGTCAAGGACTTCTTGCAAATTGCACTCTGCCTGTCTTCCCTTTGGTTGATGTTCTCTTCTTACATCGTTACTCTCAACTTACTTATCCCCTCAAAAATCTGATGGGTGTAGCTGAAATGTACATAAATAATTATTCTCATACCACCTTTTAAAAATGTAGCTAAATACATTTTTGGGAAAACTTAAGAAACATAGAAACAGAGCAAGTCAGAAGGGGGCCTCCTGAGCCATCTAGTCTGACCCCCGGCTCCAGCCGGCTCCGCTCACGACATGCCCTTTTGGTAGTCTTTATTGTGTCATATTGGGATGGGGTGTTAAATAGTATCATAATATATTGTCCATGTAGAAAAACTCTCCACTATTATGTAAGAATTTAATAAATGTTTTATAAACTACCTACTTCTTGTATGCTGTGTACAATAGAAGGAGTTCAGTGAAACCTTGGCGCTTGGAAGGAGCAGCAGCTGGCCTGTGGTTCTGTCTAATGCTGTGGGATACTAAGCTCTGCGTCTGTCTTTCTCTATTTCTTTCTAAGCAGCTTGAAAACTGTCAAGCTGAGAAGGATAATTCAAGTATTAACTGGTATCTAACCTAGGATGGCTCTGTATTCATAGATCTATGACAAACGAGACTGCATTTCTCACACTGGCAACTCTACTTTTGTCAAGAGGGACATGTTTTCCCTCTTCAGTTTGCATACAAAAGGCACAGAGATAGAAAACCGCATGCACTGAAACCTGCCTGCTCTTTGGCAGATTTCGTGGGGCACTGATGCAACACGCCCATTATAGCCAAAGTGCTCTGGAGAGTTTCCAGCAACACATAAAAAGATAGGATGCAATACAACCGCATTGCAGACACCATAAAGAGCTTACCATACAGAAATTCTAAGCCTGCCTTTTCATCGGGGCATTGTGGCCGCGGAACACAGGATGAGTGCAGGCGTTCCGGACGTCTGCCCATATTCTGCGTGAGGTACAGCCCTCTTTCCGTCACACACTGCTGTGTAATCCAGCCAGGTGCCGCTTTGTAGGTGTCCAGAAGGGCATGTCACGGTTCATCATCTGCATGTAGAGGGGTCCTGAGTAGACCTTTTGGGCGTATGATCATAAGACGCTGAAAAAGAACAGTGTTAGCCTTGAGTGAAGGCTGAGACAAAAGGTTTTCCTAATTGTCTAAGCCTGAAAATGGAGAAGCCCAATGGGTGTTGCTGTGGAAGGCCCTCTGGAGACGGGCACCGTCCTGTCCTTTGGCCTGAAGATGGGGGTGGGCACGGTGTGTATCGCTCCCTTTGTCTCTGGCTGCAAGCAAAATTTTGTTAAGAGGCATAATGGCAAGATTTGGAAGGCCAAAACCTTGCTGTTTGCTTCTTAACAGCAGGTGGCGCTGTTGCGTCACAGAACAACGCCACCACTTTGGTGTTGGGGTTACAGTCTTGCAAGGTTTTTTTACTTGCAGAACATGTGAATATGTCTCACTGGCAACCCTGAACACAAAAGTGTGTAGGAATTCACCACTGGGGAAAGTGCAAGTTCCTCAACTCAAGTGTGTTGAAGACTGCTCAGATCCCTGCAAAGGTCAATTTTCACACTGTGTGCGTGTGTGTGTGTTGTGTACTCCTGCACTTGCCTGCATTTACTTTTGGGAGCATCTGTATGGTTTTAAAATACCTTTGTCCTGAGCCGGGGGTGCTGCTGGTGTTTGGGAGTGCAAATTAGGCGAATCCAACGGCACGTGACGATTTGGTGACCCTCAAATCTTGCATGTCGCTTATTCCCAGTTGGGCTCCTTCAGCCGTAGAACGTCTGGAGAGAATCTTTGAGCACGGAAATCCACATGACAGCAGCTGCACCATAAGAAACAAGACACGCCCTTTGGCCTCGCAGTGTCAAGGACCCCAGTTATAAACAGCCAGGATGATTGTCTTGCTTTAACTTGATTTTGTCTGATTGATTGATTGATTTCCTGCCTTTTTCCTACAAAGGGCTCACGGCAGCTTACATTCTCCTCCTCCTCCATCTTATCCCCGCAACAACAATCCTGTGAGGCAGGTTGGGGTGAGAGTCTGTAACTGGCCCAAAGTCACCCAGTTGGCTCCATGGCTGAGCGGGGACTAGAACCCAGATTCTCTGAGTCCCAGTCCCACACTCTTAACCACTGCACCACACTGTCTTCATGGATTCTGCTTGTGCGATCGCTGTATACTGAACTGGGGACAGCGGGACCCTCACCTTGGGTTTCCACTTTGTGTAGAAAGTGGCAGCAGGGGGTGTCTGCTCCCCAGGAAGGCCATGGAGAAATGGGAACATGCAGAAGGATGAATGGCATACTTTTATACCTGTGTCAGCAGCCTTTGCCCTAGTTTATTTTCTGCACTGAACGGGTGCTAGGGCTTTGCCATTCTTTTTCCTCTGCAGCCTCCCCTTTATTTCTCTAGCAAGGGCTAGTCAGTGACACACCGAGCTGTCTTTTGAAGTTCCACAGAGTTACCAGAGCCAATAGCTATGGATAGACCTCTGCTGTGTTATGTAATCTCTTGTAGAGGCCATTTAAGCTGGTGGCTTTCAGCAAACATGTTTGAGTAAACGAAGACTGCTCTGAAAGGCAGGAGCATATCTAGCCATCTGTTTCATTCATCAGCACCTAGCCCTTGTCCCTCCAAGCTCCTTGACAGGCAGGTGCAGCCAGGTGCAAGGTGCCACATCTGATACGCGGATGAGGCCTTGTTTGACTTTTCTCAGAAAAGCTGCTGGTCTTGCCCAGCAGCCTTGCCAAGGGAGCTCCTCCAACTGCCTTGGAAAATGAGGCTAATGTTTGTTCTTGCTTCCCACCACGTCCAAAATAAACTTCAGTGGCTGGAGTGAAGAAACTTAGGAACTACAAAGGTCAGAACCTCCATTCTCTTCCGGGATTTCTCCCCCGTTGCTCTGGAGGACTCACAAGAAAGAGGCCTCCTCCCCAAGCAGGCGGGCTTGTCCGTGCTTAAGCACCCGTTACATCACCGAGGCTTGTCACCACTACATGTGCATGCATAAATTCTCGGAAATAGCCGCAGTCATTGCCAGGCAGCACAAAAAGACCCGCTTTCCTACCTTTGTGCTCGTTAGCAAAGATATCTTGGGAAAGAGCTCTGCCTAATGCCTGCCACTCACCCTGGACTCGCTCAGCAAGGAGGCTGGGCTGTGCTCCCGAATGCGGCCGGACCCCTGCTGCCGGAACCACTTCCTGTCCCACGCACTGGCCCGGCAGCCACTTCCCTTGCATGGTTTGCACACCAGCCGTGGATGAACCGGAAGGTCTTGCTCATGCACCTCCAAGGCAGGCTGCCCCCAGCTTCATGGTGGGAAGCCCTGAGAGCGACTGTGCGGCTCTTGCTCTCACCCTGTCTGCACTAGGGGGCTGGCTGGGGGAAGAGCCCAAGCCCCACTGTGCCCCTGCTTTTGGAGAGGAACTCCTTCCAGATTCCCTCTGGGCCATCTTAACGGATAACGTGCAGGAACAAGCTTGGCATGTCTTTCTCTCATGCAGCCCTGAAGATGCGCTTGCTGGTCGTTCAGTGCAAAAGGCCTGAGGCCTTTTGCCAGTTGGGTAGTGTACAAATTGTGTGACTCAAGTAACCTAGCACTTTCTCTGCATGATTAGCACACTGGGCCAGAGGTCTGCGCCCTTTTGACTCTGAGCGCTTCCTAAATGAGATCAGGGTGGCCACACGGCAGTAGCTGCACTGTGGGCAAATGGGGAGGGGGGAGACGCATAAATACAGCATTTTCTACCTTAAAAATCTACCTGGGGAGAGGCTTCTGAAGCGGGAGGGGAGCCACCCAATGAGTGGCAGATGGGAAAAAGAAATGGGGACAGGGAACGAGTACATGGCTCTCTGGGGAACCTTGGGAGGGTTCGATTAGGCACAACGGCCTGGCGGCTCAGAGGGCAGAGTGGTTCTCACCCAGGGCAAGCCCACAGGCTCGGCTTGTGTTGTGGGGCTGTGGAATATTCTGTGGATGTGCTGCCGATGTCAAGCACATCCAGCAAGGAGTGGCGGTGGAGCCCCCTCCTTCCCTTGACGCCCCCCAAGCACGGAGGACACCCTAGCAGCCCTGGAGATGTGCAGTTATCTCCCTTCCACTGAAATCAACGGGAAGAAAACCTTCCAGTTTTTAGTCATCTATGAGGTGGGGGACAACAGCACAATGCTCAGTCCTGTGATTCGAGCCTGCCGGGGCACAGGAAAAGGCAGGTCCACTTTCTGGGACCTTCCTTTCCCACCCTATAGGATTGTGAGGTGTGTCTTCAGCCAGCTTTTGCATGCATTGGGACAAACGTTCTCAAGTACATGGCAGGAGAATGGCCAGAGCAACCCAGGAATGAGCTGGACTGTGGTTTCAACGGGAGGGAAATGGCCAGAGGAGGGTGTGACCAAAGCCCCCTTGCCAGCCACTCTGCTCCCAGTGCCACTGCAGACCGGTCCGGCTTAAGTGCGGGTCGGGATGCACGTCACTCGCAGCCAAGGCGGCCCCCGAGCAGGCAGGTCGCGCCTTCCGCAGTTCAAGGGCTCGGAAAACAGACCCAGCCTCAATGGCTCTCCTTAAAACGCCACAGCATTTTGTGTACCAAATCAAGGGTGTTTATCCTGGTTGTGAGGCACAGTTAAGCCAGACACCGACTGCAGGTGCTGCAGTCCTGCCCGGAGGATCAGTAGCCCTTGCCTCTCCTCCTCGACTGGTTTCCTGCTCAACCCAGATTTCCTTTCCAGTCCATATTTTATTATTTTGGCTGCCTCTTGGGTGGAAAGTCCAAAGTCAATTATGGGAAAAGCAGGGGAGCGGCTGTCTTTCATAGGGCCCACTTGAATTCCCTGGCTTCTCCTCTCAGCTTGCTGGGATGCTTTCTGGTGGTGCAGGAAGACCTAGCGCCGGGGGGGGGGGGCTTTCAGCAAAGCCCCTCCCTTGCTGGAACAGCCTCCCTTCGCCCACTCGCCTCCCTCTCCTTCACCTGCTGGAATGGCAGCTTGCAAAGGAAGTAGGCTGGGGAGAAATCTATCTCTGCTGCGGCCCTCAGGTAATTTCCTGGGTAAGTTAGGCAACTGAAACTGATTTTGAAAGGGCTGAAGCATGGGCATCCTCTTGCTCATGGCAACAGGGAGTGTGCGTGTGTGTCTTTCATGGCAGCATACCACAAACTAGGTCATCACCTCTTTCCTGAAGTTTGCTCTCATGTTGTCTGGAGCTAGAAAATGGCAGAATCCCAGCACCACCTTGTGGTTAGTGAATAAAAGAGAAAGGAGGCCTGAGTGAAAAAACCCAGGTGGGGGGAGAGCACATGGGATGGACACGCTCGGCCTCTGGCTGTGGGACTGGAAGAAGCCTTGACCAAGCCAACGGAGAGCTGCCTCTTGGTGAGAGGCCCCAAACTAGCTCTCTCCGCATTCAGAACAGCAGCTGTGATGGGGCACATAGGCATTGCCATGCCCTTGGGCTGATGGGCACTCCTGACTGGTATAAAATGAGAGAAGAAGTTTGCTACTTCAGGTGTGATCTGTTCTTAAAGGGCTTCATCTGCAGAGTGCTGGGAGGGGCGCTAGGTTGGCCTCCACGTTTTCCTGCCCTGTATGTCTGTGCTTTGTGGAGATGCCGTGGTATCAAGCAGCTGAACCTTTCCTCCTGGATCTGATTACAAGAGGCGCTGTGGGTGGCTCTAGCATTCAAACCACCCAGGATCTTCTGGGGGACACACCCCCCCCACACCCCCCCTCACACACACCCCGCACTTCCTAATAAGATGGGAGGTTCAGGTTGCTTGTCCAAAAGCTTGAGAGCCTCCCTGGAGGCACTCGGAGGGCAAACAGGCGTTTACTGGAGAAAGAGTCTTCTCAGTGGTGGCACCCGATTTGTGGAATGGTCTTCCCAGGGAGGCTAATCCGTTGAGCACCAGAGGAAGCCCATTCATTTTCCCCATGCCTTTTTGTTCTGTTTTATTTGAGCTGCTTTGTGGTATTTTCCCTTCCATCATGTTCTATTGCATTTTTGCTTGACTGCGCAAGTTGTGCTGAAAATATGACTTCAGTGGATGGTGCCATATGCATGTTTAAAGGACGTCTACTGAGCTTACAGCAAATATGCTATTTGAAGGCTAGGTACTGTCTGATTCACGGTGGCATTGCGTAGCCGTTCCTACTACGCCTGCCCCCCCCCCCCCCCCCCCCCCGTTTCGGGAGGGCATGTGGAGGCTTTTTGTTCTGGGGTCTTGAGGAAACGCTGAATGGCAGCCCGTCGGAAAAGGAACTGCTGCGTCACACTGAAAACCCTTTGTCTGCTCCCGTTCTCTTTGCCGTTCCCCACAGAACATAACAGACGCGGCATCGCAGTTAAAAAAAGCATCTGATAAAAAGGCTGAATGGAGAGAAGCTTGGAATCGTGGTCCTAAATCCGGTCTCATGAAGCAAGAGCTGCTTGCTGATCGCATCCCAAATAGAAAGTGGTGGAGGGAGAGAAAGAGCAGCCCTGGTGCATGGCTGGAGAGATCTGAATCTTATGCAGGAGACCACACACCCGCCCATGTTTCATAGTGCACAACTTTTGGCATGCAAAGAGATGGCTGCAGGTGTTGCATTTGTGGCCTGCTGGCTGTGCTGGGGTGTCTCTGAATCGACCCTGTTGTCATGGGGGAAGTGGGGCACACTTTGCTTAAGGTGCCCCCTTTTGTGGCAAAGTGGGGGGGGGGAGCACCCTGGGGTTGGGAGGCCCCAGAGCCTGAAGCCTGCCCAAAGAGCCACTTGTGCTAAAAGGGGAATGCTAAGGTCGTGTGAGTGAACGGTGGGGCATAAACCTTTGCAACAAGTAGAAGCAAACCTCATTGTGTGTGCGATCTGAGGTCTTCTAGCCACATTTTGCCTTCTGTTGGGGAACAATAGATGCGTCTTTTCATGGTGCTGGTACAGCATCTGGAGATGCCCTCCCTCCCCGGTGCCTCTCCCACTCTTTCTGGCTTGCAGCGGAAGGTCTGCCAAGTGCTGGGCAGGGAAAGCGCAAGGAATCCGTGGGCAGGCCTGTTTTCTCTGTCGTGGTCTCTGCGTCGCGCATACGGGTCCTGCGCCTTACAGAGGGGGGATTCCCTAGCCAGGTGTTTTGGCGGGTGCTCTGCCCCCTTCCCCAATACTATATAAAGGTAGTTTATCTGCCAGTTTCTCCAGTTGGGTGCCTCAGATTTGTTCTTCCCCTAGCTCTTCTCACTATCTAGAATCTTCCTTTTACCTCAGCTTTACCTCATAAACCGTATCTTTTTCTCACTTTTCACTATTTCTAAACCTCAGGTATCACATCTTTTTTTTTTAAATCTGTCTATCCATTTTACCTCATGGTTTATTCTTATGGTTAACTACTCTCAACTGTCACTCCAATCCCCCCCCATCCCCCAACATTATTCTACTTACTATTGGCATTCATGGCCGCGTTTCAAAAGTGCGTGCGCTGTGGCACACTCAGATGCCCTTATGGACGGGCATTTGCTCTGCTCTTCTGCCTTGGAGAAGACCGGAGGGTAAACTCTTTTCTGCATTGCCAAGCTATGACCAAGCAGGCGAGAAAGAGTCGAGCTGGGCGTCTGCATCACAAAATGTGGACCAGAGTCTTACAGGCAACAGGAATGGTTCCACTGGGAACTTCTGCCTTGCAGGCAGTTCCAAGCACTCACCCACCTTCAGCAGCTGCTGGGGCTTGACCAGCTGAGCAGGTGATACCCATGCCGATCTCCACCAAAAAATGGCGCAAAAGAGGCCCAAACATGGTTCCCAAATGGGGACCAACGGAGGATCAAAATGGCGGGGAAGAAGCCCACCAAAAAGCTTGCCGCTATTCCCTGCACTGGACCAATCACGAGTCCACTCCAGCATGCCAGCAGTGGAACTGGCACTGGTTGCATCACCAGTCCCGCCAACGGCACTATTCTCTGGAGCGATACTCTGACAGGAGCATGCCTCTCACTCCTTCTCAGAGAGTGAGATAAGGGATTTGCCCCCATCAACTCCGCAACACTCTCTCCATCTGATGTGGGAACCAGCCGGTGAGAAAACATATTCTGGACTGACCTTCCAACCCAACTGGACTGGGGTTAGTTGCCGTAAGGCTGGGAAGATCGGCAGAAACAAGGGCAGGCAGACCCTGGTGAGCCGTTGCCAATTTGTATGGGGCAATACCGGGCTAGTGTGACCAGTGGCATGAGGTATCACAGATAGTCATATCATAGAATAGTAGAGTTGGAAGGGGCCATGAAGGCTATCGAGTCCATCCCCTGCTGCTGCAGGACACCACATTACACCATCCCACTCAGAGGGCTGTCCAGTTTCTTTCTGAATCTCTCCAGTGTGGGAGAGCCCACCACCTCTCCAGGCAGCTGGTTCCACTGTCGTGTTGCTCTGACTGTGAGGAAGCTTTCTCTGATGTCCAGCCTGAATCTGGTTGTCGCAACTTGAATTGATTATTCCATCGTTATGTACTCTCGAAGTATGACTATTCCATACAAGAGTGACTGACTTGATTCCCATTCCCACAAACACAAAAGCTGGTTCGGTAGCTCATATTGAAATGTTTATTAAGATTGAACTGTAGAACAATGGATCAAACACATATAAACATGAAATAGTGGTTTTTGTCTTTAACTCTACATTCAGCCATTTCTATTGATAAATGAAGACAAAATTATACAAACAGACCAAAAGTGCAGAACAGTCAAACGATGGTCTCATGCAACAAGTCTTTACCAGAAAAACCAGAAAAGAAAGCTGTGTTGAATTCAAATCCATTTAATCCACTCAGACACATTCATCTGCCACATTGTTTTCGTTGTCCCTTTTTCCTCATTAAACTTGAAACATTATGTGTTTAACACACGCTTATAAACATTGCTAAACTCAGCAAGAGCTAGTACAGTGCCCCAACTTAATAAGTTGATAAAAAAGAAGTTGTCGTATGGCCAGTTCACAACGGAACCATATATATATATATTTACTTACTTTTTTCCTTATGAGATGCCTATATTTGCAGCTATTCAGTAGGTGAGGCATTTTTAATATTCAGCTGGCCATCTGGCTATCAAGCAGGTTTCAGGGCCATGTTGCAATAGCAATTAAAGCAAAACCCCTGATTTGGAACAGACCAAGCCAATCATCACCACCCAGCAGAATATTCTGTTTTTATTGAACTGAGGCCCTATTTCCAAGTCAACCTTCTTCAGCCTAGATAGGGAAAAGCCTTTTCTGTGTAGCTTGCTATTTTCTGAAAAAGCTAGTCAGCTTGCAATCATCTTCAGATGTCACCAATATGAGTTCTTTCCTACCTTAAAGAATCAAGGAATTTAAACCGGGATCCAGACATTTTTTTCCTGGGAATTTTATTACCTGGGCAAAGGAAGTCTGCTGACTAAAAGAGAAACTGGAGATGTGTGGCCCTTCCATCGCTCAGAAGCAACGCTGTACGGAGGGCCAGTCCACCGACACACTGGGCATCGAAGGCTCCCTGTGAACACACTGCGTGGCATTTTAGCTTTTGGAACATCCGTTGAGCGATTCCACAATTGCAATGCGATCAGTACAAAGCTTGGGAGACTTGCTGGTATCACTAATGAGATGCTTAGAAGGAATTCCAGCAGCTTCAGCTTTTCGTAACTGCCCCAGTGAGCAGAAAAGCCACAAGGGGTGGGAAGCTCCCTTTCGGCAGTTCTTACAAGGCATTGGGATCCTCTTGGATTCTGTCCAGCAGACTCGCGCACCTGTCGGCTCCCCGCAACATGCGCAAGGCAAGCCCTTAGCAACCCACAGTGTGGAAAGCCAGCTGCTTTCAGCACCAAGTGTCTTGCATAGGTGGGCAACTTGCACAAGACTTTGGTGCTTTCTTGCTGACCCAGAAAGACCGAAAAATGGAAGTTCCGGGCAACAATGACTGCATGTTGTTCAGACTCAGAACTCAGCCCACTGGGAAACTGTTCTGGTTCACACATGCTGCCCTGGCTCCTGAATTAGAGGGAAACCATTGCCCATTTGCCTGATGCTGGGGGCTTGCAAGTAGAACTCCTGGCCAGTATGTCCAGACCGTCCCTTGAAGAAACAGTGACGTGGTGAGGGTGTAACTGAGGGTACACCTGCAACGAAACCTTACTGTGGAAGCAACGTGGAAACACGGAGCGCTGGGTAGAACCCTTTTCTGTATTCGCAAATGACTCCCCCCCTCACATTTTTAAAAATCCTGTTTTGCAGGGTTTTCTGAAGAAAAGACTGCTTTAGGAAAAGGCTTGGCAGCCCAAGAATCTGTAGTTAGCAGATGACAACACAGCCCTCGTTTTCCATCTCTGTGCAACACTTGGTGTCCGTTTATTTGGCCGCGTAACAGATGGCTGCAAATGAATAAAAACCAAGTAACCTTTCCCATAAAAGACACTTCAGGTACTTCGTTTGCTACATGTGCTTGGTGGGGAAAGGAGTCATGCAGGATTTCAGGCTGCTTACGAAACAAGAAAGGGATCTAAGTCATTTGCCGAGTTGCATCTTGTTAGCAGGTGGAGGAAAATCAATGAAAATTGCATTGCCATGCACAATCATACGTGCAGCACAATGAAGGGGGTCTTTGTCCAAGCGTCTTCTTTCCACGCAAAGGAAAAGCTTTCTATAACCAAATGGCGTAAAGGTAAAACCAGAGGGTGCTGAAGAGCCAGGTGGGCCCCCAAATGGAGCTGAAGAAATGCTTGGCTGGGTTTCTGCTGCCAGAAAGTGCTTCGCAGTGGAGGCCCTGGGGTGTCTCTCTGTAGAAGAAACGAACGTGTCCTGGGGCATAACAGCTTCACTCTGCCTCCACAACATGAGAAGGCTGCCTTGAGTAGGCAAATGAGCGGGAACGGCCCCAACCTGCTGCAATGAACATTTATGATTCTGCTCAGCTAAAATCAGAGGAGGTATCCATCACTCATGATAACATTCCACCCTGGATGGAGAACCCGACGTCGCAACTCTGCCGCACTTGTATCCAACAGCAGAATACATTCAAGCCCAGAGGCTGATATGGCCGCCATCCTAGCCAAAGCTCAGTCTTAAAATTCAGCTCAGGGATCCTCCGCCAGAAGTTCCCCGCAGAAGCTGACAAAGAAGAAGAGGAAAGACAAAAAGCTGCAACTCCCTGCACAGGGATTCCAATGAAGGGGCTACCTCCTTTGGGGAGTTTTTCTTTAAAATTACCCATTTACAAGGAATGGGCTAAATTAAAAAGCACTGGAGAGGGCAAATCCAAATATGGGCTGTTTGTTCCTCCTTCAGTAGCCGATTTCTTTTAAAACATAAAGGAGGATCACATTTCTGCCTGCCCTGGAAAGTGATCCTGAACTCTTTTGTGTGGACAACAGAAGAGGGAGGCCGAAGACCAGAAGATTATAAAGGCTTTTCGGGATAAAGCTCCCATGTGCAAATAACAAGGGTTTTTTAAGGAAAATATTATTGCTTTTCTCTCTCTACAAGTCACCGTAAATGTACAATCTTAAGTCCAGCTGGATGCTATAACTGGAAATCTATTTCGATAATTCCGAGAAAGGGTACCTTCAGCCCACTCGAGTCCTAAAAGAATTCCTGTGTGAAATACGGTGGTTTAAGCCCAGCCCTGCAAGGATCCGGCTTAATCCTGAAGATGACAATGGGCGGTATCAAGCTCAAAGAGAAGAATGGCCTTTAATTTAAAAGAAAATATACTTCAAGAGGCAAGCAAAATAAATAGCATGCATACATCCAACATGAGCCATTGGTATGCCACAGCTCCCCCTGCAATACCCTGGAAATGGTGAGAGTTTTATTGGCGATCTGAAGCTCAACACAGAGAGACAATCTGAGGGCGCCTTTGATGGGATGCCATAAAAACCAGGCATTCTAAACATACGCGAAGCTTCCCCTAATCTTCCACCTTCCCAAAGTCCCAAGTTAAGCTTGCTCAGAGCTGGTCACCCCCGTGTTTAACAACAAAAGGTATCAAATGTGTGAGCTTTACTAACATGGGACAAAGTCATGGGTAGACCTGCAAAAAAAGCAAAACATACCTAACCAACTCTCAGATGGAGATAAGACATGACCTTCCAAACTCTGGGCCTATGTTTAGGAGAGGCCCAGAAAGGCCAGATTATAGAAAGACATCTGTGAGTCTCTCCAAACACCAGGGTATCTTGGGACTATTCAGTAACTTGAAAATATAACTCAAGAGGCAGAAAGAAAATGTGACCAAGGATTTCTGGTAGGCGCCTTTCCTGCAGAATTCGAGATGCAGTATCTCTTTGGTTTGGCAGTGGATCTTTTTAACAACAGCACAGAGATTGGACTGTAACCAAAACATGGCACTTTTCTTCCAGTGTGAGGTTAACAATGCATTTTAGATCTAGCATTTTTGGGTCTAAGGGAACCAATGGTGAAATTAAAACGGTGATCTGGCAACTGCAGAACTAATCTTCAAGTGTAAGGTAAGAGGACTTAAGAGCCTCTAACCTTGACTCACCCATGTGAGCATATGATATTCGAGGAATCTCAAATCAAGACTTGTTCTCTGTACTCTGAAGAGGTGCATTAAGTCCTCTGAAAAACGGCCTTCATGAGGAAGGACAAGGCGGAATGGCTGCAATTAAAACTGCACCAAATGTTAATTGGAAAAGTGTCTCGTTTAGAACCGAACATTCCACCTAGAATGTAATGCAGGATTGAGACAGAAGTAGCAGCTTTCTATTTATGCGTGTCACCAAGAGGAATTCAGTGGGATCCTTTCAAAAAAGGTACATTTTAATGCTAAAAATAGCTGTTTCAAATTAGCATGTGGTTGAACAAGCTTACAAAATAAAAGCCACTTCCATGGTGACACAAAGGTAGGCGTGCCAAGCATCAAATCATAATGGCGGAGATGAGCATAACCTTAAGCTAGAATCTTATGTGTACTGGGACAGGAAAATGGCCAACTCCCAGCACGCCCCAACCAGGGGCATGCTGGGAGTTGAAGGCTGTTTTCCTTTTTAAACATGCACAAGGTTGTTCCCTTAGCTAAAGGTTCCTGCAGGATTTACTTCTTTCTTGGATTGTTTGAGTAGTATTATGCTATTATCTAGAAGCAAGATCAAATGAAATGCGCCAAATTATATTTTTTGAGGAAAAAAATAAAACAGACTCTTATCTGTGGGCATTTAAAAAGCATTTTGGGAAACCCTGTGTGTAATGTGCATTTATGAACCCCCACTGGTCTAGAAATAGCCTATTCACCCCTAAAAAAGGTAAAAACATATGAACAGATGGTTTGAAAAGCACAGCTTAGGAGCCGAGATATGCTGTCAAACTATTTAAAGATGCCAGCAAGACGATTATCGCTTTAGCTATGTAAAACATACATATCATTTTCAATACATTGACAATTCAAGTAATTTATTAAAAACTGCTTTTATTATGAAATATATCTATCTATCTATCTATCTCTGGAGAGACTGAGATTTACTTTTGAATTACTGTATTTGCAGCATGGTCCAAGACATGCATTTTAAAGGACTGCATCTTTAAAAGGTAAGTTTGAGGCAGCAGAAAGATTACAACTGCTACCTGGACTGCCACCCCCCACCTCAAAAAACTCATACTCTCTGCAGGAGAGACAAGCTGTCTCCAAGGACAAGCCATCCTCCTTCGAACGAGAATAACTCCACATCGCCGGCTCCCAGCGGCCTCCTCTTCTTCAGAGGCTGTTAATTCCTAGCACTGACCTGGGACGGCGCAGAGTCTGACCTGCCCTGGTCTGCATTGAGAAGCGCACATGATGCACCCACACGGTTCTCTCCTTTGTGGGCGTTGTCGCTATAGTTCCAAAAGCAGTATTCAGTCTACATGAGGAAGGTTGGCGACCAGGGCAAGGAATGTGGGTTGAAAGGAATTGGGGATGAGTTCAGCAACACAAGTTACAGCATTTTTCGAATTTGGATTCGTCTAAGGCCAAAAGCTGTCTCAAGATACTTTTTTTTTTTTTTTTAAACGAAGATGTAGCCACACGCTCCTGGCTGCAAGATCAGAGGTAGGGCTTTGGTTTTTGCTCATCATACAGAGACCACCTTTTAAAACTTGGCTATCGCCACTTCCAGCCCAGAAGTTCAGGAAAAGTGCACTCAACAAGGGAAACCTCATCAACACATTTGGAGAAACTGACCGCAGGATCCCCAATGCCCAAAGCCACTTCGTCACAACATAGAGGAGTGGATTTCAAGCGTCACCAAAAAAACAAATGAAAGAAAAACAAACAAACAAAGCAAAACAAAAACCGGAGGAGAAAAATATTCAAATCTGGCCAGCCTGTTGGCCAAAATGGGCACAGCATTTTCCACAACTCGGCATGTCCGACGTGGCCCAGCGGAAATGCTTTCCCAGCCACCAAAGGCTCCTCAGCTCTACTGCAGACAGATTATGCGCCAGGTATCGCACAAGTGAGAGCTGCTGGGGACCGCCGTTTCGGACAGCATGAACTAGAAAAACTCCCTGACAGCTGTTCTCACAGTGACTGCCGCAACATGTTCAGAGTAAGTCTGAGAAGAAACAGCCATTTCCCTCCCCCACCAATAATGGAATCCAGTCTAGGCTTCAAAGGGGGGAAGAAACTTGAAGCAAACACTTGCTGCTTCAAGCTAATTCTGCACTGACTCCAAAATACGCCTGACTGAGGCTGTCGGTTCTCTTACCAAATCTGCAAAGTCTGAAAGAGCAGGGTGCCTCTAGGCCAAAACCGCACCCAGAATTGCTTTTGTTTCAAATTGTAGCCCAAAAAGTATGGAAAATAAATGGATAAAACGGATGGTTTGAGAATTCTGAAAAAATGTGATGACTGTTTTAACCTCAGCCCCAAGAAGAAAGTTTTCCTGCCTACCGATAAAAGTCATCTTGGAAACTCAAGTGCATTTCTTTCCATTAAAAATACCTCAAAGAAAGGAGATTTTCTGGATTGTAGAGAAAGTAATCAATGTAAAAGCTGCTTATTCAAGGCTATCCTAGCACTATGGAATTTCATCTACAGTTTTGCATGAAAGAACCATTTAATCCATTGCCTCAAGTCACAGAGTGAGGATGTCTTTTGAACGCTTGGATTTCGCTCTTCACGGCGTTCTATTCTGATTCATGCACAGCTTGGAATGCGTGTGAATGATGGCGACCCATTCAAACAACGGACTCGCTTTCCACTTCGGACAGGGCAGCTTCCTTCCGACTGAGCTTTATCACCGCTGGCTTCTCCTCGTTCAGGCCGTGGCCTTCCGCCAGCGCAGGAGGGGTCAGTCCCTTCTGTTCTTCCTTTGAGCTCTCACCAACATCTGGGTAGATCACCAAGGAGGTGGCCGTCAGGAAGCCCAAGAAAGAGCCCACAGACGCCACCATCGGTATGACCCGGACTGTGCCCACGGCATCCACCACTCCTCCTAGCGCAGAGGCCACCAAGATCTGGGAGATGTACACCTGGCAGGACAAAATGGCGCAGTCTATGCCAAACCCTCGCTTTGAGTTTCCAGGGCTGTGATGAATATACTGAAAGAGACGCGGGAGAAAAACAGTTGAGATACGCCTGAAATGCCAACCTCTGAGCCCCTGGTTTTCGGACTGATGTCATGGAGAAGCCTCTTCACGCCAGTCATGGGGAACGGGCAAGCTTGAGGCAACATGCAGGGCCGCAAGGCGGCATGCCAGGCATCGGCCCCTTCTTGGAAGTGTTGCTTCAAGTGGAGGGTTGGGAGCACAGTAAAGCGGAGGCGGTGGCTGCGGCTGAGGCGCTGGGACGGCGTGAGCTACTACAAACGTTCACTGTGTCTAGTGAGGGCAGAGAAGGAATGGAGTGGGGAGGGAGAGCGTGGCTGAACACCAGAAAATACTGACTGAGGACAGAAGGACAGCCTGCTGGAGCAGACCCGAGGTCCATCCAGTCCAGCACTCCGTGCACACAGTGGCAAACCAGCTGCCCACAGGGCCCCTCCAGCAGGACGGGTGCAAGTCCTCCTCCTTCCCAAGCGCCCCCGTAGCTGGTGGGTGCAGGCCGACCACCTCTGGTGAAGGAGGGAGCCCATGGCCAGCAAGCCACTGGGAGCCTCCTCCCTCTTGCATCTTTCCAACCCCCTTTTAAAGCCACCCAGATTGGACACCATCTCCATTTCCCGTGGCAGCCAATTCCATAGTTTAACTACATGCAGTGTGAAGGAGGACAACCTTTGACCTGTGCTAAACTGCCCACCAATCAGCTGCATGGCGTGACTCCAGGTTCGAGACTTCCAGGAGAGGGAGAAAAATGCACTGCACTCCTTAAAGCCTCAACCCCAACCCTGATGCTAAATGAACAACGGCAGCCGTGGAACTGTTTTAGCAGTGGGATGCATGTGGGGGTCCGGGCTGGGGGCGCAGCTTGGATCCACATGCCAAAAGATCTCCCCTATGTAGTGTATTTCCACTCAGACTTCAGGGCTGGGAAAGGCCCGAGGGCTGCCGCCAGGGGTGCAACGGGGCAGCCCGGCGTAAGGCAGCTTGATCAGGTCTGAGTATCACGGATCTGTCCCAGGGAAGCCTTCCCCAGGCACCGTTTCTGGGTGCCCTGGGCATGCAGGCTGTCTGGCTGTCCAGCAGCAGGTGCCCTTGGTCTGGTGCCCTTCAGGCCTTCTGGACCTCTATGTCAGCTAGCCTGCCAATGGTCAGGAATGCTGGAACATCAGGCTGGGGGAGGCTGGCCCGGAGAGCCTTCCTAAAGGTCTTGCAAGGGCTGCTGCTCTGGAGCCAGCTGTGTGTGCCCGCACCACGCAGAGACCCGGAAGATGCAGGCACTCCGCCTTTAGCCTTGCTGGAACCCCTGTCGTTTGCATGCTCTTCTGCACGTGTGTGTCCTCCAGTCCAAGGCAAGAAACGTGGAGTATTAAAGACACACGTGGGAGGGGAGATCGCAACTCAGGGGCAACGCATGTGCCGGCAAACCGCGCACGGCCCCTCACTTCATCCCGAGCATGCGTGAGCCGGGCTCTCAGGCAGCAGGGCTGGGAAGGCCCGTGTCTGCCAGAGGCCACAGGAAGCCGCTGAACAAACCGCAGGCGTGACTTGGCGTCCTTCACAGTGCGGTGGGGAAGCGGCACACCTGGCGAGCGGCTGCCTGCCTACCTCCTTGATGTCGTGGTATTGCCCCAGGAGCGCGTAGGGGCAGTAGGATATGCTCATGGAGACGATGCCCATTGTGCTGATCATAATCATGGCGACGTACATGTTGGGAAACATGGCCATCACGGCGGTGCCAATGGAGAATCCCAGCGTGCCCAGGATGTAGATCACTCTGATGCTAAGGTCGTAGTTGTCCAAGTATTTCTGTAGTAAGGCTGCAAAGAGTCAAGGAGAAGTCGCCATGATGGAAGCTGCCAGCGATGGAAGGCAATCCACGTGTCAGCTGCACATGGACTCTGGGACCCCTTTCTCTTGGAATGGGCTTCCCCGGGAGGTGGTTGAGGCCCCATCGGTGCGGGTGTTCAAGGACAGGCTGGACGTCCACATGGTGGGCATGTCGTGAGTGGAGCCGGCTGGACCCGAGGGTCAGACTAGATGGCCCGGGAGACCCCTTCTGGCTTGCTCTGTTTTCTATGTTTCTATGTTTCTTTCCTGAGCAGAACCAATCCATCTTCAACTGGTCCATAAGGCCACATTCAACCCCGCCCCCCACACCCCCGCCAACTCCTCATATAAGCCATGCAATGGGGGTTGTTCTCGGAGAGATGGCCGGGCTGCCAGGCTTATCTCTTAGTGCCTCCATGGCAGGGCCCCTCTTGCCTCGTCTCACTGCTGTGAGTGTGACGCCCTTTGTGGCAGCTGCGGCTTTGCTACCCCCTTTCCCCCAGGATCGTTTTTCACGGTGGCATTCGTCCCTGTCCAAATACCCCAACTAGACCTGTCAAAAACCCTGTTCTAAAAGGGGGGGGGGTTATTGCATTGTACTCCCACCCCCCCCACACACACCTGCCAACACCTGCTCCCTTTCTGACCACTGTGTGAATGGGTAACAGGGAAACAACTCCCACCACGGTCCCAGTTCCTGTGCTTTGACCGGTCAGTTCAGCACTTCCCAACATCTCCCTCCTCCTACAGGACCACTCAGAACCGATGATTCGTTTTAGGGTTCTGGCCGATTTGCCAAGAGCGTCAACAATCCACGTCGCCAGGCTTGGACAACAAGGCATGCGTGGTGGTGCGGGACGGCTGCCTGCCCGTGCTGCAGCTCTCCCGTAGGTGGCTGGGCCAGGAAAGCGGCCTGTGGCGGGCGGCCACCAGGACGAGTTCCCTCCCGACCTGCCCAGAACCTCTTACCTGAGCACACAGCGGCAGTAGCAGCATAGATGACCAGCCCCCAACAGCCCATCTGGACTCCGGTGTTGTAGGCATGCAGCTCCGTGGAATTTGAAGGCGCCTGCAAGAACAGCAGAGGATTATCCCCGGGCCCCCTGGACTGCCAGCACCTTGCCAACAAGCCCGCAGAATTCGCTCCACCAGCTTGCCTAGCCACGCATACCTGCGTTTCCCTTTATGCATTCATCTAGATTATGTTCAATCAGCTTTTGAAAGAAACAAGCTTGAAAAGGCTGACTAAAAAAGGGAAGGCAACAAATATCAGCTTCTTCCAGCACAACGAAGGAAGAACCGACCTTCCACCACTGCTTTTCCACCTGCATCTTAGAGATGACTTTCCACCCACCACTGGGCAAGGGAGGAGTAAATGAGTCTTAGTAGCTACTCTGGCAATTTTCTTTACAGCAGTGCTAGTTTGGCTGCGTTCGTTCACGGGGGTGGGGGGGGGTGCAGAATATGAGATGGGCATTTATTTGCTCGAATGCATGCTTTTTTCCTGGGCTTTCGTGAATAACTTTACCTATCGACTTACTACCCGAGAACCCGTTAAATCGGACTGAGATAGATGCCATGCCTTCTGACCCCGTCATTTCGGAAGGGTCTTGACCACGGGGACATGCGCCGCAGACCCAGCTGGACGCTTTGCAGACGGGGTGCTAATTGGCCAGATGGCGTGAGTGAGGTATCTGAGCAGGAACAGTGGGATGCTTGCAGGGCAAGGGAAAAGGGCCATCCATTTGGGCTGAATGTGCCGTGGCACCAGATCCGAGGTGGACATGGCTATCTGGGACCGAGCTGGGCAACAACGGTTCTGGTTCTTTTTCACCGGGCTGCTGGGCAGGGATTCAGACAGCAGCCCAGGTGCAGCCCAGGTACTGCCGCCGCCTCTCTCTTCTGCCCTGGGTTCCAGGAATGTCAGCATCTCCTGAGGCGGTAACGGATTTCCTACAACACCCCCTCCAAGTGTCTAGATAGAGAGGAGGAGTACGATCGTCTCCCTTACCCTGCAAGCTAAACGTATCTGCAGTAGGAGCGTCTGCCTGCTGTTTCTGGAGACACGCTTGCGTGCTCACGCCAGTGGCCTGCCAGCGGATCTCTTCTCAAGCAAATCACTTCAGCTGCCTCTCGGCTCTGGTCGTGCTGTGCTTCTCCACCCCTCTTTGCATCTACTTGCCCAAGCGGGTGGAGGGCAGTGCAGAAAACAAGGACCCGCAGTTTGAACTGAGAGGCAGAGAGCTCCACGCCAGGCACGCCGCAGCTTTCCTGCCTGCCCCCTTCCGCCTGCCTGCGATGCCGCCGGTGACACACGCGTCACATTTACCTTGGGGTCACCGTGAAAGATGACCTGCCCCATGAAGTCGGTGTAGAAAACGGCTTCAGCGATGATCGAAAACCAGGTCAAGAGGTGGCAGACACACAGTCGCAGCAGCTCCTTGGGCATCTTCAGCATGGACAGCCACAGCAGTCTGACGGTGGTTTCTGTCTCTCCTTCTTCGCTCTCCGTGTCCCCGCTGGAGTTGGTTGCACCGCTCTGGTTCCGGTGCCGGTATCTCTGCCGTTGTCTCTTCTGCATATCATAGATATCGTTCATGCTCCGGGAGGACTTAATCAAGACAATGGCATTGGCCCGCCGGAAGCGGTAGCGGTGAGAGCCGATCTTGCCATAGTAGGAGAACGTGTACGAGGGCTGGCGGTAGAACATGTGCCTTCGCCTACGCATGGAGTTTGAGGTGCTCGACTGCTTCATGCCGATCCGAGCGTGTCCGTTCAGGAGATCTTTTGGTAGGGAGCCATTGGTGTTTGGGACTTTGGCCTCGTTCAAGTGATTATCAAGTAACATCTCCTCCTCTTTCTCGTTTTCCCTGAGGAAAGCAGACAGGCGGTTGAATTTGGACTTCATGAGTTCCTGGCTGGTGTTGTGAGGGGTGTTTGGGTAAGAAGAGTCCTGAAAAATGGAAGGCTCAATGTCATGGAGGAAAAGCAGCTCAGATTCCATTTCTAGGGTAGCATCCGGCATGTGCAGGACAGAATCGCTCTTGCTTCGCACAATGTCCACCTCGAGGAACTCCATGTTGAGGTCCTGCTCAGACTGAACCTCATCTGGAAACATGGAGTTCCCATAAGGGTCTTCCTCGCTGATGACGTTCAGCCGATGCAGTGGTGGAAGGCTGCTGCCCAGCTTCATGTTGGACAGGGCGTCTGCTTCATCCTCCATCCGGTCCTGCTGAGGGTTGTATTGCTCTTCTTCAATGCTGCAGAGGTGCAGGATGACAGAGACGGAGAAAATAACAGCTGCGAAGAAGAAGAGCACCTGCTCTTGGGATTGGAAGAGGTTTCCTAAGAAGGTCTGCATCCAGTCTAGGCCCCCCAACATGTAGCCAATGGCTCCTCCGAGGCCTAAGGAAGAGAAGGACAGCGCGATGAATGTCCTGCTGTGTCTGATGGCCTGGAAGGCATTAAAGGGAACGGACGGCCCTCCCACATGACGGTCCCACCAAATATGGGCCCCTTTTTCTATCCAAGCACCTTCACCGAGCAGTCTTCTTGGTCCCTGGAGGGGAATACCGTGGCCGGGGCTGCACGCTCACTGCCGAGCGCCGTGGCCTTTGAGGCTTCTTTTTCATGCCACCACAGACCTAGGAACTGGCCAAGAGCAGCAGCACGGCCATCTTATTCCACCGGTGTCCTGCCCTGTCTCCACACAGCTCAACGCAGCAGGGGAGCCTCTCCCAGCTCATTCGTCCTACCCAGGCTGGGGGAGAATAGCCTGCCCACAGCCACACAGTGATCTGCACGGAGGAGCTTGGCTTTCCCGGTCCTGCTCCTACGCCCTAAGCCCGCTTCCCCAGACCAGTTCCCTCCGCAGGTGCTGGACTGCAGCGGGGCCCATCATTCCGAGCCGCGTGGGCTTTGCCGCCGGACGAGACAGGTGAGTTCTGGTCCCTCTCTGCTGGTCAAACTCACTCAGAACACGCTCCACAGAGGGACGCCTCCACCTGCGCTTGGCCAGGGGTCACTCGCCTCGCCGGGACTCGTCCCATTTGCGCAGGGCCTCCCCCACACTGGTCACAAGACCACGCACTTTTGACGTGGCACTTGCAGCCAGACCTGAGTTTCTGCAAATGGCCGCTCGGTCGTGGTCAGCCGTTTGCTTACCGCCAGGTGCCTTGGATTACAACTCCCAGCATTCCTGGCCAGTGGCAGTGCTGGCTGGGCTGAAGGGAGTACAGCGCAAACCTCCTGGGGGATACCGGTGTGGGAGGTGTGGTGTGTGTTGCTCTGCCAGGCGGAAAACCTCTGAGGTAACTTCTCTCCTTGGTGCACCTGGACAACCCTATCGGGCTCCGGCGGCTTCTGCTTCCGGCCGGGGCTGGCCTGGGGAGGCCTGGGCCACACGGTTTCCTGGCCTAATGTGCCAGACCTCCAGCTTGCCTCATTCCCGCGAATTCCAGCTCCTTTTTCCAGTCACCCACACTAAACCTGCATGCAGATCCCAAGTTACCCAAGATGCTCGATGTTCCCACAGTGTAGCAATGCAGCGTCGTACACATCTTTCCAAGCAAGGAGCGGTTGCTTAAAAACAAGAAACACAAACAAAAACCCCTCCTGGGACAGCTGCAAACCGAGTGAGAAGTGGGTACAGAAAATACCCACTGGCTCACTTCACACCAAGGCAGGTTCTCAGGCTGATTTAAAACCAGAATTATGGTTTCAGCATCCAACTACAGAACCAAACCATTTCCAGCATCTTTCTTTCTGTACCTGCGCCGTTGTCCAACGTTTAGGACAACGGCCTCTCCAGGGGACAGCAAAAAATCCTGAACCATACGGTCTTGCTAAATCATAATCAGATTATCTTACATCATAGCTTTGCCAAAGCAAGATGTTCTGCCAAACCAAAGTTTCCGATTTTGATTTGCCGGGCCACCCGACACCACTCCGGCGGAAAAAGTAATGCGGACGCGGACGGGCGTACCGGCTGAGAAGGCGTGGATGTTGAGCGCCATGTCCTGCTCCTCGCTGTCCACCACATCCAGCAAATAGGCTCGGATCGGCCCCTCTGTGGCGTCGGCGCAGAAATCCAAGACCACCACACCCAGCACGGTGAGGACGATGCCAATGGGCTGCTTATCCGGGACGTCGCCGATGGCGAGGCCTGGCAGGGGAGAACGAAACAGGAGGGAGTGTCTCTCTTGCAGCGGATACCCCCAAACACGGCAGGTCACCACAGCAGATGGGTTGCCAAGACGGCTGCCGCAGCGCTCCTCAGACTCTTAAGTGGCCCTCTGGACCCGGCAGCCCGAACCATGCTAGAGCCAGGCCTAAACCTGGCTGGCTGGGGAGTGCCGGGAGGTATCGGACCTTTTTCCTGCCTAAATATGCATAAGATTGATGTTCCTGTTGCCTTACACAGTGCTGGTTAAGCCTCCTTTTTCAGATATGCTGACATGGGAGAGGTTACAGAGGTCAGTTAAGGTAAGCTACAGTTAAAAAAAAAAAAGGATTACACAACTTGTGAAAACATGCGTTGGAAAAAAAACAAAAGGAAGGAGGAAATACTGAAGTCTGCGTGACTAGAATCATATTCCAGAGATGAACACTTTAAAAAACAGGTGCTGCAGATCAGAATGGGGGCATTCAGGGGTCTTTGAGTGCAGGCAAAGCCCTGCAAATTCTGTCCTTTGACCGATGCCCCCATTATCTGAACCACCAGACCAATCCAATTGTGCAGCTCCGTACATTCATTGTGAAGTGATGGGCCCACGGAGGAGTGACGATGGAGCCATGCGGAGTATGGATGTTGCAAGCCGGGGCCGGGGATTTAATCTCTGGCAACCCCATGCCCAGCTGGGAGAACCTGCCGGGAGCCCTGCAAGTGCCAACCAAACAGCGTGGGAGGCGCACAGACAAAACGGCTTGAGAAAAGGCAACTTCATTTGCACAACGCAGTTCCCTTCAACAGTTTCCCCAGAACATTCTGCAGATTAGAAAATGAGAGCCCGCTCGGGTCCACAGGCCTCTAATGGCACAGAAGGGGTGGAAATGTTGCTTCTCCCAGGGACACACGACTATGGAATTAGTCTCAGGCTGAATTCCCAAAGATGGTAAATTCCCAGCTGCAACAGTTTCCCCAAATGCTGACAGGGTAAGAAAAAACGTATTCTTCCCCATTTAGTAGTTTGATAAACAACGTCCAGCCCATGCCACGATCTCCCGCTGCCCGCGGGGCACGCTCGAGGAACCGGGCAAGGAAAAGCGAAACAGACGGTCCCTTCCCTCCCTCTCCAAAAAAACGCTGGAAACAGGATGTGTTTGCCAGATATGCATTAAAGGGAAATCAGAGCACAACAGGAAGCATTTCCCTGTGAACAGGTTCCTACAGTTTTCCCATGCCAAGAGCTGGCTGGATTCGTTTCAGCTCCTGCTGATACGATGCTGGCAGCGCTCACTTCAACCGGGAGGTGTGCTCGCAATGGCAGCCCCCCCCCCCAGCCCCGTGGCCATAGACATGGCAGCTGCTCCGAATGGGAAAGAGACGAGGCCAGGGCAGAGGTGGGCAGCGGCACGGCGGCCTCACAGCAGGGGGGCGGGCGCATGTGCCGCGGCAGCGCTGTGGCCAGGCTGCGACGCGGGCACCCGGCTCTGCATGGCTGAGTGTTCAGATGTCACGTTTCTGGCCCGATAAGCAAAGGCAGGCTGGCTGGCGTGTGAACAAGGGCCAAGCTGCTCAGCACCCCTCAAGCCTTCCGCCTCTCCCACAGCTGCTCAGCTAGAGGCAAGAGCTGGTCCTGGTTTCACAAACTAACCAGTTTCCCCAGGACAACCACGTGGCAAACTGTGTTTTAAGTAACCGAGTGTATTCTTATTTATTTATTTATTTATTATATGTATGCCCCATCTTTTACCTTCTGAGGAACACAAGGGGGCTTACATAATTTCCCTGCTCCTCCTGTTCATCTTATCCTAACAACAATAACCCAGTGAAGAGTCCGTGATGGGCCCAACATCACCCAGCGAGCTCCAGGGCTGAGTGGGGACTAGAACCCAGATCAGCCGAGTCCCTGTCCCACACTCTTAATCACTACATCACACTTAATACACTTAGTAGTGTATTTTAAGGTGTCATTTTAATACTGCTATTTGGAAACTAGTTCGTGAATTTACCATATTAAGCAATATACCGGGAAGGAAGGACGGAAGGAAGGACGGAAGGAAAGACGGAAATAGGTGTTCTCTCCAAAGCAGGAGTGGAAATCATAATTCGATCCTACTCACAGGGAAACAGTGGCTTAGGAAGACAGGGAGGAAACTCTTAAGGATGGCACTTGTCCCTGTGCCAAAAACTCAGAACTTGCTGAACCAGGAAGGCTGTGCCACTGATGCCTAACCAGGCTTAGACAGACTGTGAGAGTAAAATGAGCTAAGGAATATCAATACTTGTACGCTGGATGACGGTTGAACAATAGCAATGTACAGAGCGCATCAGCTGTTATTAGCCCATATGGTCCGAAATCTTTCCCCAGGTATTCTAGGAGGCTGGCACGCCCAAGCAACAAAACCCAGCTCCTTCTAAGCGGGAGGCTGCCTTCCTATTTGGGTGTGGACAGGCACAGATATCTCATAAAGAACATTAAATATCTCATGCTGGAAAAGGCAAAGCTGTTTTCTTTTGCACAAAAATGTGGTTATCTGAAATCAGCTATAACTGGTCCAAATTCCATTTTTGTACACATTAAAGATGGGGCACTCTGGGTTTTAAAGGTCCCTGGTGAAAACTCTTCATGGTCATTCACTCGAGGCTTGTGGATACTTCTACAAGCATCCACAGTTGAACAGCCGTGGGAAAGTGGCAGGGAGAAGCGCTGCCTAAAATCATTATCATGGAGAACGGGAATGTTGGCTCCCAACAAAGCAGAGCTTAGTTTTCCAGGATTCAACTTATTGAGCTTCTCTTGTAAGATAAACGGGGAATGCTAGTCTTCAAGGATGCAAGGCACTTAATGATAAAAGGAACAGGGTTTCTGGATGAGATCCTGACAGTTGTTCCACACACTATGCAGAGGCAAAGCCACATGAACCACCAAATGGTCCCGAAGTTGAAGCCATAGCTGAACAGTGCACACATTTTCAAAACACACCTGTTGTACCTTACAGTTTGAGGCATCCACTGAAAGAATCTTAGGTCACCCTTCTCTAACCAGGTGCCTTCCTGATGTGCTGGATTACAGCTCCATCATTCTGACAATTCTCAGATGTACACCTCAAAATGTGTAGGCCATCAATCAGCCCAAAGGGGCCACATTCCAGTCCCTAATCCTAAAACAGATGGTGGTCTCTGGCATTCAAGTTTCACCCTCACCGTATATTAAAGCAAGCATTGTCAACACATTAGAAAAGCCACAGGACAGTTACAGCTTGTAAACCCAACAATCCTGCTTTCTGCAGATTAATCAGTCACAGAATTCAGGTACTTGAAAGCAGAATTCTAGGCATCCTCCCAGAATAGTTAAGCATGGTCGACTTCTACACAGCTGCTCGGTGTGATCCGATCCTGCTTCCCGGCACAAGAAGCAGACAGTGAAGGTACCCGAGCAGCTCTCCCACACCCAGTGTTCACTTACCTATAATGGAACCATTTAAGAAAAGGGCAACTCCAAAGAGAACACCGATGCAGAGGGCAAGAATAAAAGGTCGGCGCCGGCCCCAGCTAAGAGTGCAGCGGTCGCTGGCTGAACCAATTAAAGGAGTGAAGATCAGGCCCAGGATTGGACTAAGGAACCACGTGAGGCTGTAGTACTGTTCAGGAAGACCTAGAAGAGAGAGAGGCAATGGAAGAGAGTTATATTGATTGCATTTTGGAAGAAGGTCAACTTCAACCTCATAGAAATCAATCCAACTAAAGTGGTTACAAATTAAGTAGTTTGTTGATGTACAGTGATTTCTGTTCCCCGCAAAACATAGAAACAGAGCAAGCCAGAAGGGGTCTCCCAGGCCATCTAGTCTGATCCCAAATCCAGCCGGCTCCGCTCAAGACATGCCCACCATGTGGACGTCCAGCCTATCCTTGAACACCCGCACTGATGGGGCCTCAACGACCTCCCGTGGAAGCCCATTCCACACCCTTGGGGTCCTGACTGTCAGGAAGTGCTTCCTGGCATCCAAATGGAACCTGGGTTCCTTGAGCTTGGCTCCGTTGGAGTGCGTCCTGCCTTCCTCTGCAGGGGACTAGCGTTGTTCAGATGCGACAAGAATCTGTGCTTTCCTACTACATGAATGAGCCTGAACAGATCATGGGCACTCCCCTTTTCTTTTCCCTCCTCTTTTGCAACCCTAAGGAGGAGCTCCGAAGCATCAGCAAACCATTCCATCCATATCATGGCTTCTTTAAAACTACTTAGCCAACAAGACAAGGATTTGAAACTACACTTTATTCCAGAACGGTTTTCATTATCCATGATACACCAGGACACATCCATGCACTTTGGTGCTGGAAGAAATTGAAGCTTCCACCATGGCATTCTGAGAAGCCTTCTTTTCAAGGGGCAGAGCTCCTGTTTGCCTTTGGAAGAGGCAGTCTGACCTACCACAGAACAAGAAATGCACAAGCAGAGCATGCAGTGGCTATGTATTTTAAGGGTCTGGAAGCAGAGCTCGTGAAACAAGGACGAGGAAAAGAGCCATGCCCCTTGAGAAAATCCTGAGTGCTGCTCACAAAGGCTTTACTCCTGGGGAAGCATGTTCCTCCGCTGATCCCTGATTGGCAAAAATGGGAAACAAAGCTTGTGGGGGCACAGATACATATGGGCACCTGCCGTGACTGTGACTGTTCCAAAAGTGCGTGGGGGCGGGGACTGATGTTTTTCTGAAATAGCTGCAGAATTTGGGAAATGCTGAAAAGGTGCAGAACAGTCATTCCAGCACTTGAGATCAAGAGGAATACATCGTCAACAGGGGGATAATGTTCCTCTCTCATTTTGTGCACCTTCTTTCTGTTTTTTCCCCTTTACCTGTGCTTTCCCAGGGACAGGTAAGCACGTGGTTCTTGGCCATCACGCACAAATCAACCTGCATGCAGCTGCACCTTGAATCAGAGCGCTGTAGATGCTCACCTAAACATGACCCTACCTGTGTTTTCTGAAGCTGTGAAAAACAAAACTGAGGGATGAGAAACCATCTTTCTGAAGCGCTGCTTTGGCACAGGCAGAGGGGACAGATTGCAAAACGGAGGGGTGGGGCTTTCTGCACCTCTTGCTGAGCGGCTCCAGAGCGGCTTCCAACCTCACACTGCTTTACTCATCATGGGTCAAAAACCCCTGGAACAAACCATGCGTTCTCAGAGTGGCTTAGCCAGGAAAATTAACTCTCCCACCCCCCGCAGAAGCCATGTGGGGGCTGGATGACCTGTTGCCCTTGATGTCCCGTGAGACAAGTGCGTGTTTTGAGAAGCCCGGAAAAACCTGAAGCCACCTGTGGGATGCGGGGCCTCACCTTGGGCCTGGAGGCAGGACAATACATCTTCTACCTGGTTCTGCTTGCATACTTGCAAATAAGGCAAACCTTACAAAATGCCCTGAGTTTCTGGGGTTCTTTCTTCTCCAAAGGGGGACCCCCCCCCCACACACACTGGCATTGCCGCCTAGAATACCGATGCAAAGACCTTTGTGGAATCTGCTAAGATCCTTGTGGAATCTCCCACTAAGTATGCAAAGCCGGCAAGTCCCATGCGTGGAAACAGGACTCTGCACGTGCAGCAGGCATGGGGGCAGCGTGTGGCAGCCGGCCTGGCTGGCTGTACCGATGCACCAGCTGGACACGCTTCCTGCTGGGCGCCCACATGGACACCCCGTGCGAGTGCCTTCGGGCAGACAGAAAGTGAGCTCGTAGCACCTGGGGAGCTGAGCGAAGATAACCTGGCAGATTCCCTGCCCCCAGCCCCAATTCCGCACATATTGCTGCGTTGGGATTTTTTACTGCTGCATAGTTAGGGGAATGGTTGACATTAAAGAATGACCCTTCATAGATTAGTGCAATTTATAAAGACAATGGATAGATATTGAGATGCCGGCTCTCCAATTTGGTGGGTATGGAATACCAACTTGCCTTTTCTGTATCACAGAGAAAAACATCTGAGCTGTTCAGTAATGCAAGCCTGCAGCCTCTAGATGGTGCCAGAGGAAGGGTAACTGCTCCAGGGGGAGTTTTTCAAAGGACTGCTCTTTTTATATAGCAATTCTTAATGTAACATTTTAAATCATCCACCTGAGAGGTACCAATTAGCAATCAAGCAACCAAGGTCAATCTTCAAAACCCCGTGGAAGGAAAAGCATCCCCTTTCCAAAGATACATCAGATTATAACTAGGGTTTGATTTTGCAGCCATGCTCAACAAGTTTTTAAGATTTCTACTGCATGCTTGGCATCAAATCTAAGCAGCGGTTCAGAGAAAAATGAAGTATGGGTAAAGTTGGGATGAATAGGGACCTTCCTTCAGACTTGTTCCGTGAGATAATTAGCTGAACTTTCCGAAGTGCCCCGTAGCATTTGTGTATTTGTGTAACACTCACAGTCAGAGTGGGGCACCCACAGAACCATCTTGGCAAGCGCACTGAATCGTGCAAGAGAAAATATGAATGGTTTTACTGGGCGAAGCTCACCCATTCAAGACTTGCCTGCCATTCATACAATGCCTCAGCAGCCCAAGAGAGCTAATGGACCGGCACAAGAACCTTTAGGAGGGCCCAGAATGTAGAAGCAGCAGTGGTCGTGTGGGACGGGGAGAAGCACCTTCATTTCTCTCCTTGACCCCACCGCCTGTTTCTGAGTCTCTGCTCACATGTTCTCGTGTGTCATCCTGAGGGCCAGGAACATGTTTTAAGAAGTGATGACTGACTTTTGGACGCCAGTTTCTATGCCCAACAACAGATGATTTGACTGGATCATGGACGTTGGGAAGGACTGCAGTTTTTGCGTGTGTTAATTTCGTATTTGACCTTTCTACCAAATAATGCTCCAGGCAACATTGCTACATAGTAGAACACCCTAGCTTGAATTCTTGAAGAATATCTTAATTTTCAGTAACATTTAGCAGGAAAGACAGGAAGGAAAACAGAGGGGCAGCTCTCTCGAGTGTAGATTTGATGCCGGGGGCAATTTTATCAACTGCCAGTTGGGCCGGTTCAGCAACTGAAGAACTCCTGCTTCAAACAGCTTGTCGACTTCTGCATTTCTAAATTGGTACAGACTGTTTAATAAGCAAGTTAAACAGTAGATGGAAGGAGAGAAGGGGAATATCCGCTAGTATGCAAGGGTAAGCATTATTTTGTGGCGGCGGGTCCCTCTGGATGCATAAGCAAGTGGATTTGCCATAAAACCCAACGCATTACTTGCATTAACTTCCTTAGCTTCAGCTAAAGAATCTGCACTGTTGCAGCATGGAATCTGGCAGTGCGTGCATGAGCCCGGACACCACTGGTTTCGTAGGTTCTCACATGCTGTGTGAAGGAAAACACTTGTAAGGGCAGCAAAAGGCACTGGGGTGCTGATGAAAAAGAACTCCGCTCTTTGAAATATTATAAGCCCAGTGCAAACACCTGCATTCTATTACTGCAGGATGTTAAAGCTGAGCACCTTGGAGAAAGTTGCTTTTGCTTGCCCGGCTCAAAACAGTTTTAAGCCTAGGTGAGGATTTATGGTAGGGGCACGGAGCCTCAGGCCTGTGGCCCCAGAAAGCCATGCCTCTTCTTGTGCAGTGGTTTTCCAGCTTTTCCAGATGACTTCTTCCATTCTGAAAGGTGGAAATGCCTCTTCCAAGGCTTAGTAATGGGCAGTGAGAGCCTGAAGCCAAATTGGGCTGGTAGTTTGGATGGTTTGCACTTTTGCCTTCCTGCTGTCCAGCACTGAACTGTGTCCTGCAAGAGGTTGTCGGTCCCCAATTTAAGGGGTTCCAAAGAAAAGCCTAGTGCTGGGAACAATTGACAGCAAAAGAAGAAGGGGACGGCAGAGGATGAGGTGGCTGGATGGAGTCACTGAAGCAGTGGGTGTGAGCTCTGGGGGATGGTGGAGGACAGGAAGACCTGGAGGAATGTTGTCCAGGGGGTTGCATGGGCACAACTTCACAACTAACAACAACAACAACAAATGGATCTTTACATGTACAGTAAAGAGAGGGTTCGTTGTGTGACCCCAGGACTGCCTGAAATCCTGTAAAACCCAAATGCATCCCATCATGCTACCAATCCCAACAGACCTTTGCACCTGATGATCAAAATACATAAAGGCAAGGGGACCCCCCCTTTTTATTGTGGAACATGCCACATTTTGCCATGCTCAATATCTAACAACCTCCTTGTTGGGGGTGTGTGGGGAGAAGGACCCCCTTCTCATATAGCCAGCCCAATGTGGCATCACCCGAGGTTGCGGTAAAGGGAACTGGATCATTCCTCCAGTGAAGAAGCAGCTTATATTTGTGTCCTGATAACATTTGGTCCTTTTCACCTTGATCAATGAAGTACTGATTGATCAATGATCAAGTACATTGATCAATATCAATGAAGTAAGTGGTCCTGAAGCTCAAAGTATGCATTGGTGATGACCTCTGCCCTCGACTCCATTCATGGGTAGGGAAACTTCTTCTGGCAGGTCTGTTCAGGCAGAATTGCAAATGCCCCTGCAAGCACTCAATGCACCATCCTTTCCCAAGAATCCTCACCTGCGGCACTCATGTTTCTAAAAGCCTGCAGTGGTACCCGTGCTAAGAAGAGCCTGGCTCCAGCTCTGCATATACCGCAAACTGCTCAGAGAGCTTTGGATAT